GAATCAATGGAATAATACTATTTCTATAAATATTTTGCAACACAACTATCAAACTTTCCAAACAACAGTTACACGATACAAACATATTAACCAACATCCAGTAATTATACTACTACTCTTCCTCAAACTCTATAAAGCTAGGTCCCCTGAATATTTGGTCATAATTATATTTCTACAATCAGGTATTAACACTAGAAAGTTTTTATAAGAGTGATAAAGGTATCTTGTGTCAAAAAATTTATTTAACTGTATTTATCGCTCATCTATGCAAAATCATTGAATATATCATGCTTTCACAGTGAGTATTATCAATGTCACCAGTTTTGTTTCGTCCTTATCCAACCATAAGCAAGTTTAGGGTTTTACATATGAACTGTAAACTGATTAGCAGTCAAAAAAATCGTATCCGGTTACAACATAAAAAGATGGGGAGAACCCAAAGAAAATTCGATATAAAGATGACTTGGTCTCGATTTTTTAGTATGACATAATATTCCTAGGTTTGACAGTCTACATTACTGTAATCAGAAGACTGATTCTTGCTGAACTATTTGAAAGATCCTAAAAAAAGAAAAATATCTGGAGGATCTTCAGATTTTATTAATTTAAATCTAAAAGTATAAAGTTTGCTCGTTCTTCCCTAAACGTTTGTAGGCTGATCACTGACTCTCACATGCAAATATCCAACGTTTAAAACTAAAAGCTTTTTGTTGACGTTTAGACAAGTGTTATGAAGTGTAGGAAAGTCATTTCGGAATTTTCGTAAACCACACTTACAGTCTTGTAAAGACGACCAACTAATTGTGTTAAGCTCACACAGAGTTCCTCATCGAAACCTTTAAAACAATTTAGCCCAGTTCCCACGGCAGTTCCACCAACAGCTAAACAACAAATCAACGGTAATTGTGATTTAATTGAATCCACTGCCTGCTGGAGTTGACTCACGTATCCACTCAATTCTTGTCCAACGCTCATTGGAACAGCATCCTAAACTAAATACATAATATTGTGAGGACATTACTTGCATATGGGTCCTTCCAATTTTGATGACATCCATAAATTCATGCATCTTACTTTTGAGTGCGTTTATGAGGTGATTTAAAGAAGGCAGAACCTTCCATGCAGTTTCCATTGCAATACTCAGATTCATGGCAGTGGGAAAAATATCATTTGAACTCTTAAACAGACAGTACATAATAAATATGATCGAACCTGTCCAAGATTAACATGATCGTTGGGATGAACAGTGAGTTTAGAACTACGTGAACCTTCAATCAGTTCACTGGCTCTACTCGACAGAACTTCATTGACGTTCATATTGGTCTGAGTACCAGAACCAGTTTGCCAAATAACGAGAGGGAACTCATTGTCATGCTGTCCATGGTATAATTCGCGACAGGCCTTTACAATAGCGTCTGAGATTTTGGAACTTATTCTCTCGAATTTGAGGTTTGTACAAGCAGCAACTTCTTTGATCATAGCTAGAGAATAGACTATTTGCAACTGAAAGTCATTAAAATAGACATAACGTACTTACTGGCATTGTGTCTGATCTCGTGCAGATATTGAAGTTCTCAAGAGATCTAGCTGTCTGTGCACCATAGTAGCGTTCCAAAGGAACCTTGATACTTCCTAAGCTATCTTCAACAATTCGTAAACGTTGTAAATCCGTTCCAATCATGCGTTGATCGATAACTGCAAAACGTGTTTGAATTTTTTGAACAATTGTAATCTTGTAAAACAAATTTTGGACAGTAATGAAACAATGTATTACACAAAGAATTCTGAATAATAGATTATAGTGGAAGAGATGTAAATGTTATGTTGTAGGATAATTTGAAACCTTGATGTGCCTATTTAAAATCACGGGATTACCGTTCGAAATTGTTCAGTGCCTTCATGAATAAAAGTCTTTTGGCGGCCAAATTCCGGCTATATGGAATATTTTTGTGCGCACTATCACTTCAAGTAAGCGCACTACTGGTGTTTCATAGTTTAGTGAATTAGAACGTTGTCATTACATATGATCGCTTCATACTTGGCATCTGAATGGGAAACATGAAATTTGTTTAGTTTCCTTCCCGACTTCTTTTTATTCGGACTTCACTTTTAGTTTTTTGTGTTCCACGTATTCTGATATGTTTTTCGCACCTGAAAATATACAACTTTGTTCGAGAATCTTGTCAAGTTTACAGCCGGAAACATATACTTACTTAAAAGCCACCTTTCAAATTGAGTTGAATTATTTTTCAAAAATATTATCATAAGAACATGCTATGGTATCCACATAGTAGTCGTGGAATCTTGAAATATCAGGTCTGTTATGCCACAGCGCTAATGTCATTTTTATCAGTGTGTATGATCAACATGATTAAATGGCCACTGGTTAGTTTTAGTTGTGAGGAATTAGTTTTTACTATTTTGTTGTCCACCGAGAACTTTTCGCAGTTTCGAGAGTGTCAGTGTTTTTCAAGCAAATCCTTCAATAAACAACTCCATAGTTTTGAGGAAGTGGGTACTACTCTGGTCTTATTTCCTCTGTCAGTCACAACTTAGAATCTCATACATATGTACATTAGTACAGAGAAATGAAATCGTATGGCCAAATCTCAGAATAATAGAGGTATTAACAGTATGAGTGGTGAATGAAAGGACTAGTCATTAGTATTCGAGAAAATTAAACTAGTCGAATAATAACACAAAAGAGGTAATGAGGAACTTAGAAGCTCTGATTTTTACGGGAAACATACTGGATGAGCCTGCACCATTGTGAACTGTTCCGATCCATATCATTCACTCTTTAACCATTGATTACGATAATCACGTGCATCCAAACTAAGTAGTCTACACCTATTGACATGACTCAGTCCAACTTTCAGTGACTTCATGGACTAGTGCCATTTTTTGATTTGGCCACCGCTAACTTTCTTACAGCCTGCTTTTACACTAGACATCTATCGTTGAGGTGGGCAGTGGTTACCAATACGTAGCACATCTCCCAACCACCTAAATCAATGGAAATTTCTAACTTGTCAATTGAATTATCATCCTTAACTTGTACCCTACTCTTAACTCAAAGATTGCTTAATCCGTCGTCCTTAAATACATGTGCAATGCTTCAAATACACCTTTGACCGAATACTAGTAGTTTGCGGATATTCTATGTTGTTAATGACCATGTTTCACACCTAGAAAATAGAACACAGCAAACTGCCACACAGTGAACTCGTCCAGCCAATGTATGAGTTTCTGGTGTTATTAAACAGCGATGGGATGTTCTTTTGGCACATATTAAAACTCTTAATGGTTTTTTAAAACTGAAATGTATTTAATGCCGAGGAGAGTAAAACAAAGGGCTACATCGTACCGTAAACACTACTAAACATTAAGCCAATACGTTGCTCTTTCGAGCAAAAACAATTTTCCTATGTGTAGATGACTCATATACTTGCTTTAGTTGCCAGCTCATACTACAATATCTCTTGACGTTTTAATGAATTCTCAATTGCATATATGTATAATGCCTCGAAACAAAGTGCAGTAGTGTTTGATGAATAAGGTTATGCGCCATGGGTTTCTTCGTGCTTATGTGCACTATGTTTTGTTCGCTTTATCCAGCATTAGGGTCTCCCTGGCAATGACTGTTAATATGTATTCGTATATAAACATCTCGTTAGGGATAGCAAATTACTCACTCTTCTGTACCTGAGTTTTCGAGGTTATCACTGTGTATCAAATATCAATCAGTCATTCAGTACAACCAGAATCAGAGCCTTGTATATGTGTAACGGTTCAATCAGCTACACTACACTATTATAGCAAGATGAAATTATTAGAATCAATCAATGCGCATGCCCAAGCACCGACTACCACTGCGCGCAATGCTGGCTAGTATTGGAGACGATTGGAAGAAAGTTAGGTGTGGTCAAACCAAAATTTGGCATCAGGTCATAAAGTCACTAACTTCTGGTCTGAGCCATATTGGTAGATGCAGACTACTTGGTTGAGGTCCGCGCGACTATCGTAATGAGTGGTTAGAGACTTTCAGAATCGACTGCAATGGCATAGGTTTATACACTTTGTCTTCCCTTAAATCGTGAAATAAAAATTACTTTATACCTTTCTACGATTTAACTCTTCGTGTATCATATCCTTATATGAAATTGTTTTACTATCGCTAAAGTAACTGTTTCTACGAATTCTGTGTTAATAAATTAGGTGCTAATGAGGTGTGACGACTTGAACCGATGCATATATCTGCCTTGTCCTACAATCTGGATGAACACTGATTTCAAATTAGCTACTACTAGTTCAGGAAGGTATGTTTTTCTACTGAAGATATTTTTTGTTCATGTACTATGATGGTTGCAGTCTTGGTAAGTTATTCATAGTCGAGCTATGCGACTTATAATCTAAAAGCATAGAATTGTTATCGATCCGAGTTATTTTACTGATGGAACGATGAAAAGTGAGATTTGAACTAACTTTTCAGATAGTTTAATTCCTTGCAATATTTTCCAAATAAATGTTTATTTTCTAGTTTTTGAGTTAAAATCTTTTGGAACCAGTGTTTGCATATATTTTTGTCAAACCACGTATATGCAATTTGAAAACCGATTGGTAAACAATAAGACAGTAGGTTCACAGAATCCTCGAAAATGCACTTACACTTCCACTTCTTGGAAGTCACACTTATTCATGCGCTTCAATAGCTCATCACATAGGAGACATAAAGCACCGAATATATGTTTTAGGGCCTTCTTACTAACCCAGACAATGCTTCAGTAGCACCTAACTCTTTAACATAAAAGTATGTTTTCTTAGACTTGTTTGTTAACTGTTTTGCATGTGAACTCAGTTTGTCAGTCTTTTTATTTGTTTTTCCCATGTAGATTGTAAACGTTCTGAGAGTAACAAGTACCTTTTCATCACGTATCGGCCCCTCGTCGGTAGTTATTTGGTGAACCACGTATTACGATTTTCCTGTATTCAACTTTTGGATGGTTAAAGACCGACTGCCTGAGCTTGAAGCTGTAGTTCTGTTGCAATCGTTTTATTGTTTCTTACGTTTATAGCGTATAAAGGTCAGAAATGATAAAAATGCCAGGAAAAAGGCAGAGTTTGACTTTTCTCAACTACATATTGCTGTTTTCGATCAGGTAAATGTGCTTGTTGGTCTAATTATCAATAGGTCAATGAACTACATTCTGATATTGATAATTTACGGCAAGATATCAATGCAGTTGACAGGCTACAAAAAGACATACTGGCCACACCTCAACAAGATCCAAGTAATGTCATTTATTCTTTTATGGTTTTAGAACTGGATAGTCAGCTTAATGAGCTCACCAATTCCATCCGAGAAAGGGCTCATAATATTCGGAGTTCCTTGAAAGGTAAATTCCATTTTCTTGACTGGGATCGTCTACAATTGCAGAATTAGGGCAACAAGAAGATGATAAACTTCTGTCAGGATTATCTGGTAAATGTCGTCTAAAGTCGTCTCAGGTTTTGGTTTTGGGATATCTTATGCTTTCACTTTAGCATGCTGCTATTTCTCGACAATTCGTTCACATTATGAACAATTATAGTCAATTACAAGTAGATTATCGTGACAAGTGTAAGGCTCGAATTCGAACCAAGCTTCGTATCGGTAAGTTTCTTTTTTGTTTTCAGAAAAAGTTCAAATATTTTTCAGCTGAAGTCTCATTTTCGGAGGATGAGGTTGAAAAGATGTTAGAACAAAACCATACGGGTATTTTTACACAGGCTGTAAGTTACTTGATTTTTTAGACTAAATTTTCCTTGTCGTCATTTTGAATACCGAAATTCTAAGCAGTTTTACAATAAATTTCTAAGTGTAGCTAAATGCAACAATCTGCGGCTTGTCTCGATAATGTCTTACCTTCAACCGACCACCTGTAATTCCATTTTGGTTCAATACTGCTAGTATGAGTTGGTAATTGGCCGTTTTGCTGACTTACCACGATAGAATTGCTCGTAGTGTAAAGTTTTAGTATCATACTGTTTTGGGATAACAGGAAGTTAATGTTTCATATATCTGAATGAAGACTAGGTATTGTATTTTAATAGCCTTAAATTTTACCTCAAGGCGAAATAAGAATATCGTCACTCTTCAACCTAATGAAGTCTCTAATGTAGCTATGATTGACAAACATAGGTATGAAAACAAATGAAATGGACGACACATTTGTTACTTGTAGTAGTTATAAACCCGTTTTTCATATACTGACTTCCCTCCACAAACCTCACCCTGATATACAGCTTACAATGGAGTAGAAACATAATTCCGGTATTCAGTGCAATGCAAACGCCCAAACAGAAATATCCGTTCATCGAAAGAGCACAGAGTAGGTTTTGTTTAGATTTTTAGGTTCCTGTGCTATAAGCTACAAAATATCTTTGATTATCAAACTGTCCAACCACGTACTGAAACTATGTTCAGAGTTAAAAGTTGAGGAGGAATGAACTATAGTTTAAAGATGTTTACAAGATAATGGCTATCTACAAAAGTTCGTCAGTAGGTATGGGAAAACAAGGACCACAGGAATAGAATATGATTCAGTAAAAAAACCCAGTTTTTTAAAGGATTAACTCCAAAAATGATGAAATGGTTGGTATGATTAATCGTAGACTGTGTTGCTTTAATGGGGACATATCCAGTTGTTGAACATGTCTCTGTATCAGACGAATCGCTCACTGAAGCAGATAATTCCTACTTCATGTTGCCTCTCACTATTTATTAGATGCCAAAGGATTTACACTGAAAGGACAGAAAGTAAGGTTCTTGTTCGCATATCAGTGCACATTCCACAATGATTGGGGCCAAAAGGCTAACGTGTTTTCAACTGTGCGGTTGATTGTCTTCTGTTTGATAGTAAACAGAACTTCGATATTTCAAAATCGTTCAGAATAAACATTTTTCAAACTGTTTTGAATTGGTTACATTTTACCGAAGTCGTTACAAGATAGTCGAAATAACCTATGTACCCAAAAGCTAGTCTGTGTGTATGTTAAAAATTATCTACTATTTTGACACTTTTTAATGTATAAATATTCCACTATCGAAATGTTTCTAGATTCCTTCCATATTTATCGCATTTATTTTGTTAATCTTCATTAATATGATATATGTACTTTAGTTTTAAACAACTAATACCACTGTTTCTAGATTGTTAATAGTTGTACAGAAACCGCAAAATAGCGTAGCTCGTTTTTTTCCGCTAAGTGTGTTGTTTTTACTTTATTCAAATTTACAAATAGCAAAATAAATTACTCCGTTCAACAATAGTAGTATCTCAGTAGTTGTTCATTCTTAGTTGAAGCATAAGTACATTTAAATTTGACTTGTATTCTTTGTCCTATTGAGTTTCGAGTTTTGACTTAGCTCTACTCATGTATATTGTAACAGACTAATTGTTTTCTTAATCCTAAAATTGTGTAAATCACGACTAATCAATCAACCTGCATTATCTTGCCTCCTTATATTTGTTTTCAACCTCGTAAACTTTGGTAAATTTCTGAGTATTTTGATCATAGGTTTTCTTCATACGATGTCTCATAGATAGTTTTCTCAAATTAGATTATGGCTGAAACAGAAGCTGCGAAGCGATCATTATCGGATATCGAAGCTCGTCATGCAGACATTATACGGCTCGAAAAAAGTATCCAGGAGATGAAAGAGCTATTCTTCAATGTCGCTCTTCTAGTTGACCAACAGGTAATTTTCTTTTTTAAATCTATACATGTTTTACCACAAATTCTATATAATAACGATTCGCTCTACTTCTCATAATCTTTAGCCACACGTTTGATCTACGAATTCAGTATTATAGTATTGTGTTTGCTTTCTGGGATCCATCGTTGTAGGAGCTTTCAACGTCCGAACATGGATGGATACCATTTTTTTTTATATGATTATCATCCCTGACCGTTGTTGCTACCTTGACGTGGTGGTTGGGCTTGCCTATCGTGATGAAGCAACTGAGCTATACTGGCTGAAACAACCGTTCCTCAAGGTCCTACCATGCCAGACAGGTCGGTTAAAGAGCGGTAAGACTAAAAGCAACAAAACCAAGGTCCGAAGGCGAAGTTGTACTGCTGACTGTGCAGAGGTGTGACAGCAGTATGGTGTTTCCTCCAGACAACCAGCATGACAGCGATGCTGCCTTCCCACAAGGAGGGGTGGGGTTAGAAAAGGTCGACCCTAAAAATGCACACCTCGCCTTATCCCACGGATATCCGTCTCCGGCGGTAAGGTCTCAACAAGTATGGAGCTAACACAAAAATTACTCATAAAAAGGTCGTGTGTAATCAACCTCAAGCATCTGTCCCTTGGGCACTGCGGTCACGCTCTCAGGTCGCTGTGACCACCTCTAACCCAATTTCCTTTTCAGGTACCTCCAGCAGAACCCTTCCACGGTGTGGGCAACCGGGAAGTGATAACCGCCCTCATACCTCTAACAGCACTCAAGACCACTGTATTCATAATCAACCTCCCTCTTCAATTCCTATTATTCCTCCTACATCGATTTTCAAATCTAAACTTCCTCTTTTGACTTCCTCAAGTGTCACCACAGCCAACGATTCTAGTGCGCAAAACACTGTCTTAGGTCTACTGAGTCAGTCAGTCAGCTGCAACGTAGGACCAGGCACGTATATGCATCGGTCCAAGTTGCCATACCGCATTAGCACAACAAGATGAACACCGGATTCATAGTGGTTAATTCAGTGGTGGTAATATATAGAAGAAAGAGTCTGTATAAAAAGATAGTACAGGAAGGTAGAATTAGTTCCTAGAAAGAAAGAGTTAAAGCGATTCTAATCTCTTAATTTAAGGAAGACAGAGAGTGTATACACCGACGCGATTGTTATCGATTCTGAGCCATGTCACCAAGAGTCTCCAACCATTGGTTTATTTTTAGCAAACACAAATTTTAAGCATAAGGAGAGACACTATCTGACATGGCGACCGTATTCACTAAACCAACGATGGACTCAAATAGACCATATCGCCATCAGTCATCGTTGGAGAGGGTCAATAGACTGACTGCGCCTCACTGGACGCAAAAGAGCCACACAAAAAAGACTCATTAGAACCGAATTGAGTAATGAGAAAGCCAAAAGTAGATTCCAGGAACAACCGAGGTCACACTTAGGTAGTTCTGAAAACGAAGCTGACCCAGATGTTGCTTGGAAAGTTATACAAGCAGCTGTGGAAACAGTAGTGACATCTACCAGTGATTTAAACCACAGGGTTACAAAGAACCAATGGATTTCTTCAAGGTATATTGCACTGATAAATTCTCTCAAAATCATCCCATCAGGTTCTGAACACGATTAAGAGCGTAAAGAAATCAGATCTAGGTTAAGCAAAAGTTCAAGGAATGATCGTGAGCAGTGGTGGGCAACGAAAGCAAAAGAGATGGAAAAGGCAGTGGCTATAGGGAACACAGGACAACTCTACAGACTAATAAAAGAAACTGGAATTAATAAGTCAAGTGTAAGTCAGACTATTTCAGAAAAAAACGACACTCTCATCTGCTTCCAGTCCAGACGTTTAAAACGATGGACGGAACACTTTAAGGAGCAGTTCAGCTGGCCTTCAGCTACTCTACAACTACCCTCAATTCCCAGACAGTATGAATGGAACATTGAAGTAGGTCCCCCAACTCTAGCTGAAGTTCAAAAGGCTATATTTTATCTAAAACGAGGAAGGGCAGCTGGTCCAGATGGATTGGCCCCAGAGGTCTTTAAGGATAGTGGTCTAGTTTTAGCGATTAGGTTGACTAATATTTTAGCTAAAATCTGGGAGTTAGACGTTATCCCATCTAACTGGTCACAATCACTTATCGTCCCAATATTTAAGAAAGGATCAAAATCATCCTGTGACAACCATAGAGGGATTAGTTTAACTAATATAGTATCTAAAATACTAGCCTCGATAATTATCGGGTGCCTAACTAAGACTCGTGAACTGCAAACACAAGAGAATCAAGCTGGCTTCAGACCTTGTCGTGGCTGCGTCGACCACATATTCACCATTCGTCAGGTTCTAGAACACAGGCATACTTATCGGCGTCCGACAATGGTGGTCTTCCTTGACTTAAAATCAGCATTTGACTGTTTAGCGAGAGGTTCTGTGGCAGTGTCTGTCATTGAAAGGCGTACCTCAGAAGTACATAAACCTTGTGAAGGCTCTTTACTCGAACACTACTAGTCGAGTCAGAGCTTATGGTGAACTGTCATCTGCTTTTGCAACCTCAAGTGGCGTTCGTCAAGGCTGTCCACTTTCTCCATTTTTTTTAACTTCGTTATAGATCTACTAATGGAAATAACGCTCTCATCGACTGAATTCTCAGGTATTGATCTCCTACCAGGAGGTCCACTTATGAACTTAAAATACGCAGATGACGTAGTCCTGTTTGGTGAAGACGCTGATGAAATGCAGAGTCTTTTGGTAGCACTGAGCAACACTACTGGGATGTGCTAATGCGGTATGGCAACTTGGACCGAAGGATATACGTGCCTGGTCCTACGTTGCAGCTGGATGACTGACTGATGATTATCATCATCGTTTTCCAGTCGTCATTAGAACCACGAATCTTCCTAGGCATCTACTTAGGATTCGCAACAAAACCTAACCATTTCAGTCCCTGTAAGTTCAAAACCCTATGGAGTTGCTCAATTTCCCGATCTCTCCATTTCGTATCAGATGAATTAAGTTCTACTCTCGGCCTTGTGATGTCTATTTTCCTAATAGTTTTGTTTGCTGATACGTTAGCATTAAAGTTTTGCTCCCATATATCTTGATACGATGAGTTACAAGTTTTACTGCAAAATATAACCGTTTTAACTTTTAACCCGGACTATCTTCGAAGCAATTATCTCCATTGTTTTCTTGCTACTTTTTGCTTTTTATATTAGGGTGATTTAATCGACCAGGTTGAATACAATTTGAACAAGGCATCTGACTGTGTTGTAAATGCAAAGCGTACCCTTTCATCAGCCGTAATTAGAAATAAAAAAAATCGTCGTGTAAGTGGACATTTTCATTTACTTTTTTGCCGTGAAATTGTTGCTAGCTTCCCTAAACTATGTTTTTAGTCAACTATTTGTCAGATTCTTCACTATTCCTCGCGTTAACTTCAACAACTGAACCTTTGCATATATGAATTGTGTAAATCATGGCTTTATACATGAATAATCTTACCTAATTACTGAGTTTTGATTGAAGACCGTGCTATCCGGTTTGTTTTCGATCTCTCTAAGTCAATAAAAATTATCTTTAATTATGTTTGTCTTAAAATTCGTTTCATTGTTCAGTGTAATTTTATTTGTGTGTTACATTTCTGGAAGTGAAATTGATTGCATAGCAGAAAAGAGATCAGTACTTAGGCGACTACTTTTAATCTGAACGTCTGAATTCCAGTGATCATGTATCAGTTTCAGATTTCTGAACATGCACTCCAGTTTGGGCTACCGGTTTGTGCTATTAGCCTTCACTCGTAAAGTATGACTTGGGTATAAGTACTTATTATTGGCAAATGAGTTACATTCATTTATTATAGAGATATTGTTATTTCACTAAATATGTAGATAAGTAATTTAAATAGATTGAATTCTAGTTTACTGTGAATTCCTGGTTTAGTACATTTTCCATTTTGGTACCGTTGATTTTGATTTAGTGTCTTCTATATTGCTTTTTTAACATCCGTATTAAGTACTGACAATACTGAAACTCTATCAATCTGATGTTAGACTGAATTTTATCAACATCATATTATGTATATTCTTCAAAAGTTTAAATGTTTGTTCCGCGCTCCAAACTTCATTTCGAGGCTCTCAATATTTGGACCGTATGTTCAGTGAGACAACAAATTTCCTTAGCTTAGGACTCCATGATCTCGTGGTGTCGATTCATGCTGTGTCTTCGAAACACACATACAAGATCTGAGTTTGATCATTAGCTTGACCTCACCTAGTTAATATGCAGAGCCGGCGCGGTTTTCCCTTCATTTATCTGGGTATTTGGCTGCTACTCCTAGCTGCCTCACTAGCGAAAATATAGGTTTAAATTCAAAAGCGTAGTAGGCTCTCTGACGGGATTCCGGCACACAATCGCCTGTGCAATGTTCGATTAAACCGAACAGTATGGACTAAAAAAACGGGGACATAAGAAGTTCTCTCCTCATTGTCTCTGACTCCGCTCTTACGAATTGTTGTCTGGATGAAGTCAAAGATAAATTTTATGGAAGCTTTCCTTGCCTCTACAAAGTTAGATGTGTAGATGTAGTGGTGGTAGAAGATGACTTTAATGTGTAAATGAATAGTCTACAAAACGAATACGTCTGAGACTGAGTTTGTGAGGCATTATCCAACGTCATCAGTTAATAATTACGAGTATTGGGTAGGGTCTAGCCAGGTAGCTTCCACAGATTAACTTGACTCAGTCTAACGGTTTATGATTTGGCCGCTCAAACTTCCTTTGACTCCCTCCTACCCCATTAAACATTCCACATCTATGTTGGAAATGGTCAGAGATGCATCACACATGTTCCAGCTTCATTAGTCAGTGAAGATTCATACTCTTGCCAACCGATTTGTCATTATTGTTTAATATTTCAGTTCTAACTTCACTACTGGTCACTCAGTCGTTGTACGATACGCCAGCAATCCTTCAAAGATACCTCTTACCTTAAGTTTGTAGCCTACGCCAGTCCTCTGCTTTCATGGACTATGTTTTACAGTGATAAACTAATACGAAGACAATCTTACGATGCTCCACTGCCTTGTGGGTCAGACGTTTATGTCGAAGGCTTTGGGTGTAGACCCCTAAGAAAACCACCTGCTTCGGTATGGGCACCCGGGCAGTATCACAGCCCTCACACATATCAAATGAGATCTGTTTGGCGCATATGTATTTGGTGCCTCCCTGTACCAATATCTATGTGTTAAAATAAATAATAAATAAACGAAGACAACCGCTACACACTACTCGCCCTTCAGTCAGTCAGTTAACAACGTAGAACTTTGTACGTACATACATCAGTTCGAGTTGCCATACCATATTAGCATACAAATGCAATTGTCGATTCAAATCTCGTAGTGGTAGAGGTAGTAAGAGTATAAGCAGTAATCGGAAAGATTAGGGTTTGCAGATGTCATTTAAGGAGTATAATCTAGTGAAATACATTTGGAAAAGGAAAAAAAGGAGCATGAAGAATTCAGAAGATTAGAATTTAGGAGAACATAAAGAGTGGATGCATTTGAGCCATGCCCTTCAAGGTCTCTAACCATCGGTTGCTATGGTCTCGCGGATCTCAACCAGGTAGTCTACACCTACCAACATGACTCAGTCCACTTGTCAGTGACTTCATGGATTTGTTTGTGTCATGTTTTGATCATCATTTTCATTATATTTCCGTGTGGGCTGCGATACTGCCCGGGTGCCCAGACCGAAGCAGGTGGTTTTCTTGGGGGTCTACACCCAAAGCCTTCGACATAAGCGTCTAACCCACAAGGCAGTGGAGCATCGTGAGGAGATGCCGTCCCATGGAAGCCGGTGACCAAGAAATTGGTTCATACGCTATTTGTTCCTGCAGGATACTGGAGCCTATGTGCACCATTGATTTGGGGTCCGGTTATAGCGCCAGATGTTCGCTTTTCGTCCTCTCATTTTCGTCAACAACACCCCCGCCACGAGAAGGCAGTGAGTAGTACTTTCCTGGCAGAGGCTATATACGCGTGGCCGTGTGAGAGTATTTCGTGAGGGAGGGCGGGCCCACCCCACTCTCGGCCATACCAGGGCATTTGGGGGCAATTTGATTGTCGTGGTATGAAAGAAAGCTGCAAAGGGCTAGCTTGTGTTGGTCCTTCACGACTCCCTGGCTGGAGTCCTAAAGATGGTGTAACAGTGGCCAGAAACGTTTTCAGATACGGCTCAGAATAGAAGCCAGTGGCGATCCTGCTGTAGCCTTCTTTTACTTTCTTCATAAAAAGTGGTTGCTTCCTTAACTGTAAGATTTCTTCTGAGTGTACCTTTTCGTCTCCCCCATTATTGTTCTCTTTTTTTTACAATTCCCTACGTTCCCTACTTTTTTCTTCCCTTCTCCTTAAATTCTCATTGTTTTGTGTGGCGCATATATATTTGGTGCCCCCCTTGTACCAATATTTATGTGTACAAATAAATAAATAATATAAATAATGTTTTGATCTAACCGCCCCTAGCTTTCTTCCAACCTACTCCTACACCATAAAACATCGCTCATCTGAGCAGTTGGTGTTTGGGCCATCTCAACTGATGAAGTTCCACTACTTCATCAATTGATTTGCCATCCTAACGTAGTACCCGTTTCCTAACAACTGCGTTACCTACTCGATGGTCCCAGGATATACGAGCAATGTTTCGAAGACACTTATGATCGAATACTAGTAACCTACGAATATCCTCTACTCTTACTGGCCATTATTCACTGCCATAAAGTAGGACGGAACGAACTGCTGCGCAGTAAATACGTCCTTTGGTTGATAGACGGACATCTCGCCTATACCGTAAATGACGCAAGTTTGCAAAAGCATACAAGCCTTCTGTATCCGTGCTGAGATTTCGTCGTACACCAAACCATAAGGGTTGATGAGATTCCCAAGTAAGTGAAGTGGTCGACACGCTCAACTAATTCACTCCTTATCATTAGCTCAGGCGCTGATGCAATCCAATCATAAAGCGACATTTTGCATTTCAAGTTGGCGAATCGCATCCCAAACATGCTTGCATTGTTGCTTACGGTGGTCGAAAGACTGCATTTTTCAGCATCTTCACCAAATAGAACTATGTCATTGGCATATTCTAAGTTAACAAGTGAATCTCCCGGCAAAAGTTCCACTCCTGGAAATTTAGTTGAGAAAAGTGTTATCTCTGAAAGCACGTCAACGACAAAGTTAAACAAGAGTGGAGAGATTGGACAGCCCTGAGGAACCCACTTGAGGTAATCAATTCTGATGACAGTTCGCCATAAGCTCTCACTCGATTAGTTGTTTTCGAGTAGAGAGCTTGTATAAGATTAATGTACTTCTTTGGTGCTCCTTTCAGTGACAAACACTGCCATAGGACCTCAAGATCAACAGAGCCAAATGCCACCTTAAGGTCGAGAAATACTACGATTGTAGGGTGTCCGAATGTGTGTCTATGTTCTTGGACCTTACTTAGTGTGAATATCTAATCTATACAGCCACGTCCAGCTCGGGAACGGATTTGGGGGTCACCATGTCAAAAGATGTTTATCCTTGTGCTTAAAGTTAGTATTTGCTAGAAACAGGCGGTTATCTGAACATAGCTACGAAAGATGGTCGTCATTATCTGTTCTTTGAGCCACGACATTATAAGATCCACCCAGGTGTCTTTCCTTTTCGCTTAGCTTACTCACTTGAGCATTAAAGTCACCAGCCACTATTACTACATCAGAGCGCCTAGCTTTTCAGAGAAGGTCGTAAAGCTTTCTGTAAAACTCATCTTTTACATTATCTGAGCTGCAGTTAGTGGGAGAGTAGTCAGAGACGACGAAGAGGCAACGACGAGTGTCCCTATCTTTCCCAGTCCTTACTGTTCCATTTAGTCGGACAGCGCACAATCGACTGTCTCCTGGGATTTATCCTAACAGAGCTAATTCTGCCCTTGGACTGAACGCTATACCTACTGCAGCGAGGCCACAGGAAACAGCATCAGGACTTCTGTATACACGAATCGTGAATCGAGATGGTTCTTTACTTTGATATGATGAGCTCAAATGAATGACGCTACTCGGATCTTGTATGTGCGTTTCAGAGACGCAGCATACATCGATGGAAGAAGATGTTAAAGTCCCAGCTAAGCAAGCCTGTTGTCCTATTTGGTGTAGTGTTCGGACGTTAAAAGCTCCTACATGTAGTTAAGAGCGTGTTTTCAGGAGACCTGGAATAACGTTCAGCGTACTCGTATCGTTTGTATTAGCGGCGCCAGGTGATAAAGGAACGTGAGAACGGTTAGTCATTGAGATAAGAGAGTTGCTAGAAAGTGTAGGAAGGATTTGAATATGACCAACTTGGTGTCGTGTGCTGTTACGGTTATAAGGGCTAATGTCACTTCTCGGCCACCCACACCATGGAAGGGTATTTCTTGAGGAACCTGAAAAGGAAATCGGATTAATGTTGGTCTCGAAAACCTGTGAGCGTGAGCGCAGAGCCCAAGGAACAACTGCTTAAGGCCGGTCGCGCACGGCCTTTTTGTGGGAAGCTTTTAACGTGCTAGTTCCGTTCTTCAAAAGGCCTTACCACCGGAGAGGGAAATCCGTGGGGTAAGGTAAATTGTGACATTCTTGGTGTCGGCCTTTTCTAACCCCTTCCTTCTTTGTGAGAAAGCAGCATCGCTACAGATGCTGGTTGTCCGAGGAAAACACCTTACTGCTGTCACACCCCTCTACAGTCAGCAGTACGACTTCGCCCTCAGACCTTGGGTTGCTGCTTTTAGTCTTGTCATTCTCCAGTCAACCTGCCTGGCATGGTAGAACCTACAGGAACTTATGTTCCCGCCAATGTAGTTCGGTTGGGTCATCACGATAGGCAAGCGTGATCACCACGTCAAGGTAGCAGCTACGGTCGAGGTTGTAAAGTATTGCGACTTAGCATAAAAATAAAAGCAATCGTCTTTTGCAACTATGCTCAGACAACCGTTTGTTCATAGCAAGCACCAACCTTAAACATCAAGGGAGATATTGTCTACCATATAGACCCTCGGGATTGTCTCATTGATAACCTCAAACAGATTACATGACCTTCCGCCATCGTTATAGAGGATTGATTAAAGACTTCCTCTTATTCCAAAGCACATATTTGTTTTCTGTCCTATGGTCTAGTGAAAGCACGTGTTTGTGTCTCAATGTGGGAAAGTCATTGAAGGAATTTCACATAGTGTTCAGCTTAACGCTGAAAAGCTCAACAGTATATTTCAGAAACAACTAGAGAAGTAGTTATTCAACCATTAATGTGATGTCCATCTATACCTAACTTGTCATTACATCCAAACAGCTGTGAAAAAATATTTGTCTTTGGCTTAAACAAAGAGGTTTAAACACATCATTGGATCTTCGTTGAATCTACTTAATTTATAGATGCTTGGAAACTCATTTATTCGGGCTCAAAACAGAGCCGGAGAAAACCAGGTTGGTTTCAAGCCTGGAAGCGGATGTATCAACCAAATATTCGCCCTTCGCAGATTCTAGAAAGTAGACTCACTTTTCGATAACAATTACATTCCTCACTGGAGAATATTTGTAGGTCTCTAGTTTTATATCAGAAATGTTCTTACTTATGTGTGTTGTTATCACTGAGTGAGGAATATTGAAGCCATAGTTGACTAGGTAGTAGTTGTGGATTCTAATTGATTGAAATAGTTGGGATATGTATTATGTACGCTCAGTAGCTGTTTACCTCAATGCACAATAGGGGCTGACATGGTATTAGGTTAGAAGAAAATTAGGGGCGGCCAAACCAAAACATAGCATCAGTTTATTAAGATGCTGACTGTTGAACTGATTCATTTAGGTAGGTGCACATTACCGAGCCGGGGTCCACGCGATTATCGCAGCTAGTGTCTGGAAACATTAAACGACATTTATTTATTTAAACATGTAAACATATATATATATATATATATATATATATATATATATATATATATATATATCACAAATCGCTTAAACCAATGTATATGTGAGTTTTTAATCTCGTTTACATTGTTAATAGTAGTGTAATAGATCTGAGATGCTGTACACACACGTTTGATAGCATAGTTGTTTATTTACGATATAAAAAGATTTATCTTACTCATTTATTGTATGCAGTACACATGTGTTGAAGAAATTAAAGTAAGCCTTATTTATCATATACCTTGGATTTGAACTTTGTGAAATGGTCTCCTTCTTGTTTATCGTATCGGGTTTTCGGGAAACAATGGAATGAATCATAGATTATAAGAATAACCTCTATGAAATACAAATGGTTGTAATGCAGGGTAGCTACTGTATTGTATATGTTGTCTATTTCTTATTGTTGTTCATTTTTTCTGTGCCTTTGTTGATGTTATTGTTGTTGTTATTTTTCTTCAATATATTTTTCGCTTTTTCACACTGCAATTTATGTGGATTACTAAATATCAATCAACTAATTACTGGTTTAGTGCAGAATAATCTGTATTATATTGGTTGTTGTTATCGCCATATTGATCCTGATCTCATTAGCTTCCGCAATCGGTTTAACACGATGATCAACAGTTTGAAAACAACGATTTCAGTTTGCCAAATTTTATCATTATACTCTCAATCCAAATCAGTCGAGGATTAATTACAATAACAATATACATGATGCGTGCATATCCAAACACATCTCATTTACTTCTATCTTGTTTATTGTGTACAAAAATGATTGGAAATTGATGCGCCAGACCAATCGTTCTTTTAATTTTCACTCATTTAAGATACTTGCTTCTTTGTACGAAACCAATTACGATAATCAAATTGATAGTCACAATAAATACTTTTATCATTATCATTTTTATTGTAGCTATGTTTTATGTTCCTAATTACTTCATTTTTCAAGCGTATCAATAATATATATATATATATATATATATATATATATATATATATATATATATATTCCCGCCAAATCTTCATTCGTTTTGAACGTGGTAATTTCTTTCATCTTATGTTCTATAGAGTATCAGTAGAAAGTTGTTTTCCAGATAGTATATGACCAAAGTATTTTCTATTAATCAGTCAAATAGTAACTTGAAATAAGTTATATAAATAATTTTCAGGTTAGTTACCTAAGATTGTTGAGTCCCATGCAAGTTGATAACCTTCAACCAGTATTTATTCTTTTTGGATTTTGATGAAGTTTGTGCTTCTAGGTCTCTTAGCAATTCTGTGATGGTAAAACGTGGAGAGAATCGATGTCGAAAAAATGCTCACCTTATTATATGATCTGACATCTGACAGGATATCAAAACTGGAAAATACGGTTATAAACCATTTTTGCAAAGTACTCTTATGTCGCAGTCATGTTTGGAAAAGACGTTAAAAATACATTGCTTAGTGTTTAAGTGGCAATATTAAAGTTTTCCGATTCGTCTCTTTACCTATAATTTGTTTTTGGTCTGTAATAGTAACTAGTTTACTCTTTGAGGGTGATTTAGATGTCTACGTTATCGACCTTGGAATCCTTAGAAACTGATGGGAAATATCGTCATTGGTACTAAAAAGCTGGCCTAACTTCAGTTGATTTGTGGGAGAATCACTAGATAAGTCCTTCATTGTTAACCCAAAATATTTAGTAATTAGTCGACTTTACATGCAATTGGATTTTCAACTTTAATCAAATATTTTATTTCAAAACAAATAGATACAAAGTTTTCCTAAGCCGCGGGGCGTTTTCGGTTACCTGTGATTGTCTAACAAACTCTTAATCTGTTGGGAACTCAACACACACAAGCATGCCTTTTAATATCCTAGCCGGTGAAATAGACATACAAGATAACGTGACTAGGGTTATAAAAATAACAATTTGTTACTAAATTCGAAATATTACAGCATTTGTTGAAAGAAGGTTATTCGTCACCAACGTACCACTTAATCGTCATACGTCTAGAAAAGTACACTTTTCATTATTCGTAAAACTAAGGTATGGGGTGTGGTATGCACCCTTTCAATAGTCGCGCTCTTCAGTGCGCGCCTTTTTGGACGAACACCATATACACATTGAACAGATAATTTATCATTCAATATTTCTAGTCAAAATTGTCAACTAAAACTTTAAACGGAATTAATCTATGGTAAAATATTCTGTATCTCATCTGATGATTCTAAATAATTGATAAGTAGCCGACTTGTATACTTTAGTCGATGCTCGTACGCTAAAATTTCATCATGTAATGATAGATTTTCCTCAGTATATCTTCTGATTATTAATTGCAAACATGTAAAACGTTTCTAACATTGTTTATGCCCAGATTCGAAAATTTCACTTGAGTTCGTATCTCCGTACGTAGATATAGTGGAGTGAGTGTCATATAGCTTGAGGCCAAATTCCCAAACTTAAAGCCTTAACACCCAGTATACTACTGTCATTTACTTGAGTTGTTTGTAGATAGAACTTGGATTCAACTATCTTACAGATTAGTAATCGTATGTTATTAACTGGGCTTTACTCTTTTTATTCCTATTAGCGCTTACTCATCATGTAATCATTTGTTTCTGGCTGTTTTAACTCATTACAATCAATGTTGTAGAGTGTTTTTTTACATAAGGCATATATATGTATGATATTCAGTCTATTAAATTTACTATGCTGATATGTCTTCAAAATAACATAGAATTAAACTTCCACGTATGTAATTTTAAACCATTTTGTAATGATGTTTTTAAATATTACATTTTGTAAGCATCTGACAAGAACTAAACGAATTAAAATGAATTCATGATGTCCTGCTAAAACCTTTATTCTTGCTCTCTTCAAATTTTATTTCAATCTATTCCTTAAACACAAGAATATTCAGGTAGGCCTTGATTAGCTTGGTTACTTGGGTCTTTAGCTTTTAAAGTCTCGGCATCATAGGTTGGTTATTCCCTTTTCATATTCGATTTTTGTAACTACTATATGATATCTCATACCCTTGTGGGAAGGTTTAGATACTCTTGTCAAAATGTTTCTTATTGTATAAATATTCACTAACTAGATTATGTATATCTATATTCCCCTTATTATAAGCTCCATTATTATTATACGATTTACTATTCTCAAGTTATGTTCCGTTTATTGATTACAGTCTCCCACGTTCACAGTCACTTTTTGGCCTGATCTTGTATAAATATTATTTCCTGTTTGATGGTGTGATGCGGTCTTTTTGGCTGGTATATAAACCATGTTTGAAATAGATGATTCGCATAGCGGAAGCTGTTATTGGTGCTGTAAACTCAGCTGGACGGGCTAGGCGAACAAAGGACCAATAAGGACATTAGGCTGCTCATACGGGCCGAATGTCATTGATTTAGCACAGTATTAATGTTGAATAAGTTGTATTTCGATTGGCGAATAAATTACGTGATAACTATCCAGCTTTAAAGTCACAACAATATCTTTAGTATGTTAAAAGTCAGAGCATTTGTCATAAAAGTTTTATATTTTACATCTGAACTGGTAACTCATTTTATTGTTATCTACTGATTGATTGTTAGATCTTTATTTTTCTCTTATTGAACGATTAACTTTCATTGTTGTCACTTTAATCTCAAGACCTTTCTATCCATAATGCATAGGAAGATTTTCTTCCGAGACAATCATGCACAATGTCAGCCATTCGTATAAATTTATCATTGATTGACATGAGTGCTGTTTTAATTGTTCACTTGATATTTCTAAATGAAACGTTTAAGTTTTAGTTTAGAATAAAACAAAATATGTAAAAGCTTTCAGTGTTTTTATTCTATATGAAAACAATCTACTGTATTTGTTTAGCTGATTAAATTAGACATTTTTAAGAAAATTAATGTACTTGTAAAATATCTGTATGTTCTGTCAATGTGAAGTTATTATTTATAATCTGCAGAAATAGCTTTCTTGGAGAGTTGTGAAATACTAGATACATACTTATTCACTTCAATCAGAATTTATATCTGTATGATTCTTTTATATAATGATATTTTAATGGTGATTTTTTAAAAAAAAAAAGACTACTAAACTCGTTTTTCTACTGGGATTGAGATATTTCACAGATTAATGTCCACCTACTAAAATACCAACCAAGTGTTAATATATTAGAGTAGTAAAAATTCATACAATGAATCAGTACTATATGAGTAGTGTTAAGTGTTGCTACACATTATGACTTATTTTGTGTGATTATTTGTGTATTTAGTTCGGTATTATTGTAAATTATATATTATGGTTAAATATGTTTTACAGATTTTTACTCAGAGTAAGCTCAACAAGGTTTGCAGAATCCATCATATTTCACGATTTTTCATCAGCTTCATGGAACCTAAAATTACAATTCTTAACATAAATATGATTATCAGTATGAGGATTTATGGAGATTGTCGTATTTTCAAGTTGAATTCACGAGTGGATGTAAGCTAGACCACCATCGAAGACCTGGGAACACTGGATGACCATTTCGTTCTAGTATGGGACTTCTCAGTAGTCCATATCTACGATCCCACACGTCAAACGTGAATCCAGGACCTTCGGTCTTACGCGCGAACGCTTAACCTCTAGACCACTGAGCTGGCATCCAACGGTGTTGATGTCTAAATTCAATCGATCCATGATCATACACAACCCTTCATTCATTGTCTGAGGTGGATATCTGTCTCACACTCGACACAGATTGTACTCCACTGCACTGGTCACCAAGTCCCATACTAGTACAAAACGGTCGTCCAGTGCTTCCAGTGTAATCCAATCTGTGTCAAGTGTGAGACAGTTATCTACCTTATTTATTATTATTATTTAAACGCATAAACATAGTCACAAGAAGGCACCAAATATATATGCGCCACATAAATCATTCGATTTGTGTAAGGGCTAGGATACTGCCCGGGTGCCCAAACGGAAGCAGGTGGCTTTCTTAAGGAGTCATATCCACAGCCTTAGACCCAAAGGTCTAATCCACAAGGCAGTGGATCAACGTCAGGAGATGCAGTCCCATGGTAGCCGGCGACCAACGATTGGTTCATACGCCATTTGTTTCCTCAGGATTCTAGTGCCCATGTGCACCATTAGTTTGGAATCAGGGTTAACCAACTCCCTTAGATGGACCCTCCGCGTCCACCAACCCGGTTGAAGCACTGAACCTTCGCTTTTCGTCCCCTCAATTTCTTAAGCAACATCCCTACAGCGAAAAGGCAGTGAGTAGGACTTCCCTAGCAGTGGTTGTATGTATATGGACATGTAAGAGCATTTAGGGAGGGGGGGTTGGTTCTCCCCACTCTCGACCGTACCAGGGCATCTGGGGGCAATGAATAAAGGGTTGTGTATGATCATGGATCGATTGAATTTAGACATCAACACCGTTGGATGCCAGCTCAGTGGTCTAGAGGTTAAGCGTTCGCGCGTAAGACCGAAGGTCCTGGATTCACGTTTGACGTGTGGGATCGTAGATATGGACTACTGAGAAGTCCCATACTAGAACGAAACGGTCGTCCAGTGTTACCATGTCTTCAATGGTAATCTAGCTTAGATCGACTCGTGAATTCAACATAGATATTATTTCAATGGTTGAAATCATGAGTCAGTTGAAGCTAGATCACCATGGAAAACCTGGAAGCACTGGACGGCCGTTTCGTCCAATTTTGGGACTCTTCAGCAGTGCGCATCATTATTAATAGATGCCTAGCTTACCTTAGTTTGTGAAGCTTAGATAAATGTTCGAAACGTAGCCAAAATCATAATAATAGTGAGAAGAGTGGGGATACAGTGTGTATGAATAAACATAGTTAGGATCGATGTGTATTTATACGCTGAAAAGTAATAATTGGATGGTTATGTAAAAATAGTGAAATCAACAGGTGATTGGATTATCACATCATAACCATATAATAAATTGACTCGGTGGTTGGCCAAATTACTAGAATCAATTCGTAGAAAACTGGTGGCTAGTGGTCTAAAAGATGCATTTCAGTTTTTCAAAGAAATGGATCAGTTCATTATCAGATAAATTCATGGTATCTTTTGATGTGTGTTCATTATTTACAAGTTTACCATTAGAAAGAGCTATTAATATAATTTGCGAACAAACTAGATTATTTTCTTTGCCTCAAAATCTGTTTAGTAAATTATTACTACTTTGCACAAAAAGGGTTCATTTCTCAATCCAACAATCAACTACACAAATAAATCGACGGAGTGTTCATGGGATAATCACTAAGACCTATCTTGGTCGATATTTTCACGGCCAACCTAGAACTAACGAAATCTAGAACACAAAATGCTACTCAAGATATGTTGGTGATATATTCATTATCTGTAATGATATGGACCACGCTTCTCGGTTACTTAGTCACTCCATTAATTCTCATCCCAACATAACGTTTACAATGGAATATGAAAGAGATAACCAATTCAAATTTTTAGATGATGGAAGTCTTGAGAAGAGTATATAGTAGAGAGAAACATAGACAGGACAGTGTTGAACTTTAACAGCTTTAGTCCTATCAGTTACAAAAGGTATCTAATCAAAACGCTCTGCGATAGAGATCGGATGTTATGCTCAAACAGGCAAATAAATGAGAAATTGGTTATTCTAGAAAAGCATCTCATAAAAAATAGATACCTGATGAAGTTCATTACGAAATACGGAAAAGAATAACCCAAGGACGATAAACAACAAGCTGAAAGGAGAAAACCTATCTTCATGCGCCTTCCGTTAAATGGTGATGAGGTTTCAGGAAGAATCGAAGGAGGCACTAAAAACTAACTTCTCTGTTGCTCAACTGTTTTCACTATGCAACACCAAGTGCTCATTATATAATTCAAAGGTAGATCGAAACCCTACCGATGTCATCTGCAATAGCACTTGTGAATTTACATGTACCTGCGTTAGCAAGTACTTAGAAAAGCCAGAACAAATTTCTAGGAACCTACATCATTCGTTCATACATTTTGTATCCCTACTCTTCTCTTATTATGATAAATGTACCTACATCCTATAGTCGGTGTTCACTGCGGGACTTGAACGTATTACCGTTCGCTTCAAACGCCATCGCACTATCCATTTAGCTACTGAGTCCTGATAATCGCTAGCTTGTGTAATGAGTTGAAGTGCAAATTCATTTTGTATTGTTTGTTCGAAAAATCCCACTGATGTTCAGGACTGCAATTGATCAGTCTCTTATTGACATATATGCATCCTATGCGGATTGCCCCGATATTGCTTTAAGTCACAAGCATTATAAGCCAAGATGGATGGCGGCTAGCAGCTGAATCCACAACTGATCAATTGCAGTTCTGAACACCAATGGGATGATTCGAACAAACACGACAAAATGAATCGTTTATAACTTTTCTTAAACATTTTTATCTCAGCAGTAGGATGAGTTATTGAAAATGATTCATGTTTGAGTCATTGGTATAGAAATCTAGATAAAAAAACTGCAACAGCACTAAGTCAAGCTCTTCATTTATTGATAACTTACTTTCATAGATTTCATTTAACCGCGATTTTTGTGAATTAATTAGCTGTTGTTCACCAACGAATGGATCATAATCTACAATCGATTCATGAATATCAGCCATCATTGAATCTGAAAGTTTGAAAATATTTTCCTGATTTAAGGATTCATCTCCTTGAAAACGATTCAATAACAAGATGACGGTCCAGAGTAGATAAATTTCAGAATTACAAAGCTGTATTTCATATCTTTTTATATATCTGAAGAGCTTTTCGGAGTTAACAGAAACAGTTTAAATAAATTGAATAATATTGTTAGTTTATTTGAATTATAAATAAGTCGACAAATTGAAATCATACTTAGCAAAACACTCAAGATAAATTTCCATTTAGGTATTAAGAATTTGAATGACACCTGGTTCAGAATTACCGTGTGGATAAACTTCACGTTTTTAAGTCGTCTGAGTGAATCGTAGTCGCAGTTATGTTTTCGTTTATTCAGTCACTCAATCGTAAATATTTCGGAATAATTCCTATAACAAAATTAGTTGGTATTTCTTTTGCTATTTTGTAATTTTTCTTCCACCATAACTGAATGCTCCACATTTGACACGTCCGTAGCATGGTCGAGAAATATTCTCGTCGTAGAATACTTTACATTTTACATGCAAGCCAGCAAAAACGACAGAGAACGAAACATGCCCTCCATCATGAATTATAAATGCGTAAATAATAACTATGATCAGAATGGAGTTTGTGGAGAATGCTATAATTTTAATATCTGAATTCATGAGTCGGTCTAAGCTAGACCACAATTGGAAAACTGGGAACACTGGATGGCCGTTTCGTCCTAGTATGGGACTTCTCAGTAGTGCGCATCCACGATCCCGCACACGGGACTTCGGTCCGGGACCTTCTATCTCGCGCTAAGGCTTTACTTCGACTCATGAATCCAACTGTCAAAATTACTAAAATCTCTACAAAACCCATTCAAATCATCATTTGCCCACTAGTGACTGGCTCCAAGACGAATTTCCTAGAGTTCTAGTGATAAGCCTTGAAAATTGGAGTCCAATTCGTGTTGGATAGAAACAGTTATCCACCTCAGACAATAGATGAATAGTTGTGCAACCATTCATGGGTCGATTGAAGTTAGATACCGGCTCACAAGGTCTAGATGTGAAGCGTTCGCGAGCCAGATCGAAGGTTCTTCACGCTCCTGGCAACCGGGGTGCTTTTGCGCACAGATTAAATGGCCAACTGCTCTCGAGGTACCTTATTTCCGGTCGACTCGCGAGCAATCTGCTTGGTTCTTGCCATTACGAAACACCGAGAGACGATGGATTGTGGATGCCCACTGCTGAAGAGTCCCATACTAAGACGAAATGGCCGTCCGATGTTTCCAGGTTTTCAATGGCGGTCTAGCTTGGATCAACCCATGAATTCAACTATTAAATAATAACTCCCCACTTCATTTTGGTTGGTCTCCGGGTGCAAGATTAAATTGCGAGCGAGAGTGGAGTTTTTCTTCACCCCTGAATTAAGCTTATAGTCGTTCTGCCTTCTTTAAATTGAATGGTATATAGTGATGAAACTTCGACTGCTATAAAAATAAAGTCATTATAGGTACAGATTTAGTAAAGAATTAAAAGGTAAGAGTACACTTTCAAACGAAAAAAATCAATAGACTGAATCAACTTGTGATTTTAATTATGAAACTTACATTTGTTTAAAACTTGGGTAAGTTTGAAAACTTTTTTGTTAGTGACAGGAACTTAGTTGCAAAGTGACCCTATCGGTTCGAAAGTTTTTTATGCTTGATTATTTGCTTATTATTTTAATTGATAAGTCACATAATACTATAAAATTTCAGTTTTTGATTTCATACTGTTGAGTCGTCTATGTAGAAATAAATATCTCAAGTAGTATGAAATTATTTTGAATAGACGATTATTATTCTTTAAATTTAAACAAATCAGTATAGTTTGAAGTTAATTATGTGAATATGTAGTTGATAAACAAGATAAATAAAATCAATTGTGTTTATATCAACTTTAACAGTGTAATATATTCTTGTTATTTTTTAAGTCGATCCATTAGACTTACACTTTCTGTTTCTACATCGTGAGTAACATCGTCTTTATTGGAAATATAGTAACTTATTGAATATTTTGCTTAATTATCATATAAATGGGAAACAAATAATCGTTTTTTATCGTCACACTATATACTCAAACGAATCTCATACATCCTACTTGGACTATCTATCGATCAGATTACTATTATTATTATTACTCTGATTATTATCAATTTAGGTGTTGTGAAGATTGTCAAGTTTTTGATTGAGATCATGAACCGATTGATGTTAGACCACCATTGAAAACCTGGAAGCACTGGACGGCCGTTTCGTCCTATTATCCTTATCTCCTCTTACCCCATTTCCAGTCTAGTTGACCTTTTATTTTTATATATAAATGCTCTTAACAAGTATATGTGTGATCAGATTGTTCGAAATGTATCGCGCTAATATATTACATAGTTCTGATAATCTCCGTCTTCTTATTACATTATCGAAATTTATCAAAGGGACTAATTGAAGAGGAAAAAATGTATTTGCAAAATCTCAGCGAATGAATTTTAAGTAAATCCAGCGTTTCGCCTGGCAATCTGGTCCAAGCTTTTTCAAGGAAAATATAATCAAACAACAAAATTATCGAATATAAATAGTTACAAGGTTCTCTGGTTCACTGTATACTGAATAGAACATCCAATCAACATGCACCCTGTTTGAAGTAGGTATTTACAAAAGTGTGTAAGAGACTTGTGTTGTGAAAAAAAACGAAGTGTTAAGATAACAGATTGTGTGTCTACGTAAGTGATGTGAGAAGAAATTTCATTCAAATATATGTTGTCTTCGGTATGTGTATATTAAGAAAACATATCATTTTATATATGATATGAATCAAAATGTCACAGCATGCATTAAATGAAGATAAATAAACATGATAACAGACTGAATTCAAAGAGGAAGAATGTATTTGTAATTGAAAGTTTGTGTTATTTTAGTGCTCCCGTCAATTGTTTAACATATTCAGATACAATAACTGATTTGAAACCGTTAAGTGTATTATCTATTGATTAGTTAATAAGATATAGATAGATAGAATGGAATAAGGAGTTCAGGTTTACTTATTAATTATTAGTTGCTATGGGACAGCTAATTGTATTCCATCTCCTATTAATACTGTTTGAATTAGCCCATATATGCAGGGCTTCGGCTGTTAGTCGTTCTTTGTAAGAGTTAAAACCTTTTTGAATGATTCTTGCGCCATTAAAATCAACTGTATGACCCGATTCAATCGAGTGTAATGCTATTGCTGATTTGTTCTCAAGTTTTTCACATCATCTGAGGATTTAGGAATGTGCTTTAAGCACAGTTTGTGTTCCTTCACCTTTACGTTCAATTGCCTTGATGTTTCACCTACATACGTTGCATTACAATCATTACATTTGATTTCATAAGCACAATTCTGTTATTCATCCTTGAGTATTTGATCTTTGATTCGTACTAGTTTTGATCTCAGAGTATTATTTGTTCGAAAGAATACTCTTATATTTTGAAGAGTTAGAATCCTTCTGATCTCTTCTGAAATACCTTTACGATATGGGATCACCACCGTGTTAATCCATTCTTTTTGCTTAACTCTTTAATGATATCATTTTGTTCTTCATTCTTAATTATTCTTTTAATAAAACCCTTCGGATAATTATTCATCATTAGAATGGATACAATTAAATTCATTTCCATTTTTATATCATTTGGTTCAGTGACAAGTTTTTTGACTCTGGTTATCAAGTTTTTGGCTACTGTCACTTTGGTAGAGTGTGGATGCGCAGACTTAAAATCTAGAAATTTCCCTGAATATGTCAGCTTTCGGAAAATAATAATTTTTAAACCATCATTATACTTCCTTTAAACCAAGCATTCTAGAAAAGGTAATTTTCGTTCAGGAGATTCCAACTCTTTGGTGAACTTTATTTTGTCATAAATGCTGTTGACACGTTGAAATAGTTCGTCTAAACCATTTCGTTTTATAATGATAAAAGTGTCATCTACGTAGCTTAACCAAATTTTTGGTGGAATGGAGCACATTGAGATAGCACTTGTTTTCAGTGAATGCATGAATAACTTAGCAACAATTGGAGAAACCGGTGATCCCATAGCTACACCTTCTGTTTGTCTGTACAGATCTCGAAAACTGAAAACAGTTTAATGTAAGCACAAATCCAACGCTCTAATAATTTCTGAGGGATCTAGAGGACACCGTTGTTTAAGTTCAGTGTCAGAATCTAAGAGGTTATACGTAATGTCTAAAGCTTTATTAATAGTAACATTATTGAACAATGAGCAAACATCAAAACTTGCCATTATTTCATCCTCTTCTATGTGGATATTACTGACGATGTTTCTGAAATCATTAGAATTTTTTATTCCATATTTTATTAAGCTTTCATATGGTTTAAGAATTCTCGCCAAAATCAAACCTTGGTAATGATATTTATAAAATATCTCATTTAGGTTACTCTGATTAGAAATAAATAGGTAACAACTGATCGATCATTAATCTGACTAAACAAAAGTTTATCTTTGACTGATTATACAAAACTGAAATCTGTTTCAGAAAGCGATTGTTCAATAAATTACAACGAGATTGTTGAAGCCTTCTCGAATAACTTTAGCACACAAACCAACAAAATCATTTCAATCAATACTACGCAGACCAAAGGACGAACTGACAAAAGAAGAATAACCGAACATCATCCACCAAATAAATTATTCCAACTGCGAAAAACTACATCAAACGAAGCTGACGCTCTCTTGATCTGCACGAACATCAATTAGCGATCATACGCCATGACATATCCTCGCTTATATCAATGCATGTGGACACGCATTCAAATGGAAAAATGTTGAGATCTTAGATAAAGACTATGCTAAAAACACCAGAAACTTTTTAGAAGCTTGGCATTCAGGTCAGTCAACAAGCACATTGAAATCGATCCAATTTATCAACCAATCAGAAAAATTATGGACAAACGTAGGTCCAAGAATCAAATCAATGGGAGATACAATCAAAACAAAGAAGTGAACAATGACAGGTTAAAGGTCAACAATAACCAATCATGATGGAGGTATACAGGGCAAGCTGTGAACCATATGTGGGGAAATTGGAACACTTCAATTCTACCTAAAGTTTGTGCTAATGATGTCCTTTCCAGCTTTTTCCAGTTCTTATTCATCCCTTTCATATCCGCTTCTATTTCCCGACGTAATGTGTTCTTGGGATTCCACATCTTTCAGAGTTTCTCCATCAAGAGTGATTGGATTGCTGTTCTCCGTGTTGTATTTGAGGACTGTACCATGAATAATTTTGTTTCACCTGCTTACTGTCATCATGGTTCGACATAGCATTAGCAAACATAAAACGACTAGAGACCTGACTGAAATGTGAGATTAATGCTTTGACTTGCAAAAAAAGCTTGACTGTTTTGATTTTTTAAAATAATTATATGTGATAATTTACGGTGAGTACCAGACATTATATCACACGTAATAATACACATACAATCAATATGAAATTCAATTAATATAGACAACCAGCAATATAATGAATGTCAAACGAAAAGAATGTTGGGAAATGCAACATTTAACTAATCAAAAAAAGCTATATTCCCAGTTTATTTGTATATAAGACATACTTGAGATTTACAAATAGATTTTGGACTAGTCCTTTGTCCTTTATCAACCAGACACAATAAAATTAAAAAGGAATATATTCACGAAGGGATAATTTTACAGTGAAAAATAAAACCACATATTAAGTATATTTTTTATTAAATTTAAGCATGAAAATACAAGTAAGTAAGTAAACGACCATTACTCTAGATTCGACCAATAACATCAATGCTTATCGGCATTTAAATTCGTTCTGTAATTCGTTTCACTGTTTAGTCACGAGAAAGTTCACATCTTTGGTTGATGACGATTTATTTGTTCCTTTTTCCGTTTAAAACCATTAGAAGTGATAAGAAATAACAATAGCTTTACAAGTATATATCTCACAGTTCAACTGTTCACTAAGTACAACATTTTACGAGTTCAAGGTGTTCTGACATTAGACATAATCCTTATGGTTTAAAATAAAGTCCATATAACCTAATTCATCATTATCATCAATAATTTATGATTTAATAAACTTACATCTTTATCAATCTTTAAAGTTAAATGACTCAGTTCCATTTTTGCTAATTTTTTCACAATAATTTTAGGCATAAATTTATTATTTTCATCTATCCAGTCAGATCTAACTTCTTCAACTTGTGAATTAATTTCAGTTTCTGCTTGGTTTTTTGATATAGTCTTGTATACGTCTGCATTATTATACTGACCATTTGTATCTACTCCTGTATAGTTTACTAACTGTTCATAACCTTCTTGAAAAAGTATTAAACTTTTATGTAAATAATCTAATTGATGTTTATTAAGGGAGTTTAAACAACGCACATCAATAACACCGATCACTTTATTATTGGAATCAGTAAATGGAAATGTATAATGTTTTCGACCAAGTACGAAATTCACCAATGAATATCCGGATTCTAGTACGTCGAACAGATAATAACTGAAGATTAAGAATAAAGCAATAATGACGATTAAGTGAGGGAATACATGGAATTTTAGGTAGATATCCTTTAAATAATTCACAGTTAAATATAGCTGCCTCAAAATTATGCAAATTAACATATAAAGAAATTTTCAGTAAGTGGAAACTAATCATACTGATTATCAGTGTTTGCAAGGCTATTCAGTGTGATTTAAGCCCATGGCATTCATTTTTTCGGCTTATTATTTGGCCCATATTTCTTTCATTGAATAAATATTAAACACAATTTTGCATACTTACAGGTAACTTCATTGATATCTTTGTTTATAGTTAATCTGAATTGATATTAAATTCACAATAAAGGTTTATTATAAGTGAGCTCGGTTAATAGTATTTAGTATCAGAAGGGGTTTTGTGGAGATTTTAGAAATTTCAATAGTTGAAGTCATGAGTCAAATGAAGCTCAAACGTCTAATGGTTAAGCGCTCACGCGCGAAACTGATAGGTCCTGGGTTCGAATCTCGCGGGGGGCGGAATCGTGGGTGCGCACTGCTTAGGAGTCCCATACTAGGACGAGACGGCCGTCCGCTGCTTCCAGGTTTTCCATGGTGGTACAGCTTCAATTGACTCATAATAGTAATTAGTATCCAACAGTTTTATTCAAACAGACATACATCATCTAAATATGGTGCAAAGCAGATATAAATGTATATGAAAGAATATTCAATGCTTACTAGTAACACCAGATGTAATTTAAATGATATGTCAATTTAACTACAGGGATTAATTGGTGAAATATGCGTGAAAATTTATTTCTCTTGGTAACCTACCGTTATTCATGTGGAAAGTTTATCAATTATACTTTTTTCATCGATGGAAATGTAACAAAATAAAAGCAATTTATACATTCTTAATTTTTGTCAGTTTAAACAATCTATGGTTAGCAGATAAAATATAAACAACATAGAAGAACTGAAACAATAGTTAACTGTAGTTACAAGTCACGACCTAACATGTTTACGTTATATTAGATTGAAGCAGATGTGTATTCAAGGAATTTATAATTAATTTACTATATCATATACCTGCTTTATCAACACTTTTTATGTCATATTAAAACAAATAAACTAGTTTTTACATTTTTATTGATTTCGATAAAAGAGATACACATTAATATTGTGTCTATTGAACATAGTAATGTTGAAAGTAAATGAAATTATACCAAATTATTGAATGAAATTCAACTTTTTTCAACATATGAATTTACACATAAATTTGGCATTAATATTTAAATAGAATGCCACATGTTAGGTTTATAAATGAATTAGAAATTTATACATTTATTGTTATCCCCAACTGTAGGCCAATGATGTTTATTAAAAGGTACGTATATGAGTGTCAGATACCGAAATTCGAGTATAAAATTAAAGTTTATTTTCTATAGATTTGTATAATATCAAATATTATTCGCATAACAGTTCTCAGATTTTGAAGAGAAAAAAAAAGACACGCAAATCATATACCAAGCTAAATTTCGTGCACTCAGCTCTGATTTACATTTTTTTAAGTATGAGAATTAGTATTACCATTCAACTGTCGAAACGCAAGCAAGTATCTCATGGTTTGAACCTACCACAGAGTGATTGCCAATATTAACGGTAAATAATATGTTTGTTTTTTTATTCTAAATTAAAAACAGTAATTTCAGTATAATCTAAACTGAGAACTTTACAAACAAAATGAAATCATGATAATAGTATTATATGAAATAGAAAATTATAATAAATTTAGTAACTGTTATTCCTGGCATTGATCACTCTTTTATAAACTCATAGACTAGTTTTTTTAATGCGAACAAATGGGTATTTATTTAGCGATCTGAGTTTATCACTTATGAATAATATCATTATCAAGCTAAAAATAAGTGTCGACCTATATTTCTGATTTAATTTCTGAGACTGATTGCGTAACAGACACTTATGAATGAGGTCACTATAGCAAAGCAAGATCGATAGCTGAATTATTTTGGATGTGTAAATTCGGTTTAAATCTTTTATGGTAATTGATCCGACAAACTATAGTAAATCCTAATTATCTTGAAGGAATCGGAAGTATCAACATTATGACCACTAACAAGCAGATAGAGTACAATAGCACTGTTAAAATCGTGTTGTCCTCATAATCTAAGCTTCTGTACTTAAAGATGTGAACACTAACCTTCCATTCTGTTTTTTTCGATGGCGAGCTTTGGTGACCTCATTTATAAACATATGTTACGCAATTCTCCTCATAACAATAATCATTAGTCCCTACTTCTTATCTGATGAGTACTCGGTCAATTTTATTCAAAGATCTACATAACTATAGCATTGATATCTCATTTTCAAATAATTCTATTTCTATGCCCTTAGTTTTGTATTCTAGAATAATTTTGCATTCAACCTATAAATATTCACATTTAACGTATAAACATCTCTTACAGTTATTCCATATTTATTGCTCTTTTCATTAATCTTCATTGATGAGGAATTTTCCAGTATGTAAAATGTGTAAGCTGATCATTATATTTTACTAGACAAGAGATGATTTCTGAGATATGTACACAATATATATTCAACATATCACTAAGAGTTATACTCTCAGAGATTATATTAACCTTTTAAAATAAAACTATCTAATATAACCCACAGTTTATGGTTACAATTTATGACTTTCTAGTCAATAAAACTATTTAATGATTGTATAATCAGATTGTCTTTTATCTTAAACTTTTATTCAATTCAGTTAGAATGTCACGATATGGAATTAAACTGTATTGTTGTTGGGCCAAAAAACTATATTGATTGAAGATAACTTGGCAAATATTAATTTCCTGTTTGCAGACAGATTTTATTGATAGTCAATTTATCATGCTAAATATAACTGGTCACTCATTTAAATTTGGCTTAAATATAAATACAATGGGTTCCTTTTTAATCGCATTATTGGATGACAGAAGTTGTTTGAAATCATTCACAATCGTCATCTGAATTCGATGTCACTTTTAATATTCCGAATTACACTGAGTCTCGCTTGCTGATAATTACAAATGTATCATTCTTAAAACTTTTAAACTAGACGAATATGAAAACATAAATTGAATTAAACTTACCCTCCCGTGGAAAACTATTACTATCCAGTCAGTCAGCTACAACGTAGGACCAGGCACATATATGCACCGGTCGAAGTCGCCATACCTCATTAGCACAGCATGATGAACACCAGATTCATAAAAGTAGTCAAGTCAATGGTGGTAATATATATATATATAAAGAGAGTTAACGAGTAGTTAAGATTTTCAAAAGACAATGACTTTCTCTAAATAAGTGACTTCAGAATTGTGATGACGTACTACAATCCGTGCAGTGGGATTGAATGATGTTTGATTAGAGTAAAACAGTATTTTAACTAGATAACTCTCCAATACAATGTTTGTAGTTTAAATAGCTCTCTGAAATTTCTTAAAGTTGGTATTCTTTCTTAATGAGCACCACGTAATGAGATTATTTCAGCTTGAACTTTCAAATTATTGACCTAAATATAATAAATTGTTTACTAATTAAATAAAGCCATTTGTTATAACTATACTCTTTTTTCAACTATCACAATAATCAATCTAAGATGAATGACTATCATTTAGTATATGATTTCATTTATGTTGTATTTATAAAACAACTAAACAAAAGTACAAAACAGTGTGAACGTAAGATCGCAAGTTTAATTATGAACCTTTTCAACTATATGTCGTTACAATGTTAATTCAAACTGTTAACCCTAGTAAAATTCACAATGAATTCAATAATTCACGATCAGATATTTGTTTAACAAACTGAAATAATAATTCTCTGTTTTTATGATGTACTGAAAATTTGGAACTCAAGAAATATGTTTATAATAAAATTAATTTCTGTGATCTGATTGTCTTATTCGATCAAATATTCCAGTTCAAAGACCACAATGTCATTAAAATCTTTTGTTTAATACTTTATCTGGATAAATCAGATAATAGAAATTAAAGTAATATGAATAAATGTAATTAATCCACTTTTTTTGTTTCCATACTTTCTGATTAAATTTAGGCAACCATTAAAACTGGTGTACTACTACACTTAAACTTTAACTCAGTTTTTTTCTTTTTGAATTTTGAAGCTGGTTAAAATTGCTCACTTGTATGGTAGTAAATAGTTATAATCCTCTAAAGTAAACAGTACAAACAAATTTAAGGATGAATGTAAGTAATAACCTAATTCTAGAACCTAACCGTAGATAATTATTATAATTTATAGGTAACCACTTAATATTCTAATCCATCTATAAACTAAGCTCTTCATATTCAATATATAATGATTAGTGGATAGGATACATTTTCTTGTATACTTCATAGAATGACAATAATTACAGTTATAAAAGTTCAAATAAAGCCTTTAACGATTCTTTGTTCCTGTTTGTTATCAATTTATTAATGAAAACAAGTTAAATTAGGTCACATTAATTCAATCAATGTACTACTTATTAGTAGGTTGAAATTGTTAAGGTAATTATTCACCATCTTTTATAAAGTAACCTATTGATTTTGACAAACAGTGACGTTTATCTTTATGTAGTTATGAGTGAATATATTATGAAAACTGCAGCTCCACTCCCTAGTGAATCATGAATATTAAAATATTTAGTTTCATTAAAGCAAGTAACGGTTTAATAAGTAGTATTAGGTACAGTAATCAGTCAGTGAATCATAATGATTTCAGATATCAAGATGAATAGTATGGCATTTTAAGATATAGAATGGTATAGCTTGGATAATCGAATAGTATCATTTTGTCTTCATTATTAGGAGCACTATGGATATTCAAAGTTGTAGAAAATTAGTATGAAGTTTACTTTAAGTTATTAAACGTCTCTAATATACATAAAATTAAATGCTTCATAAAAATATCTATATTTATATCTAATTTATAATAGCACAATCAATATGATAATGTAACTTACTATAGGTAGTTTTTCTTTTTATTGATAACATATATGTCATTATGAACTGTTGTTTGGTAAATACCATGTTTTGATACAAGTTTGTGCAATTTATAATTAATTTCTTTGTTAGGTGGATATGTTTTCTCCTCTGTCGAATCTATTGTTGTCGGATGATTAACATCACCATCCTCATCGTTTTCACCATCATTACATCCGTGGTAAAATGCAATTTCGTCAATATTGCCTAGCCGTTTATAAATCCAATCAAATGCATTATGTATCATGGAACTGAGTAAGTATCGACTCTTTACAAGCGAAAAAGCAAAGCCCAGATGATAAGCTACACCCTGCAGTAAAAAGAAGGATTTAAAGAAAACCATTGAATAACTAACTGTAAAAACTATTACTTTAAGATTTACTTGGAAGGATGTAATTCATTTCCAAACATTTTTAAGAAATCATTTTCATTATTTCAAATATGGGTTTAAAGCATTCACCTCGTAACTGTAACTGTAGGTAAATGTAGACCAAGAAACAAAGTTTTGAATGTATGTTCCATGCAAGTAGATAAAATTTACTAACCACTTATATTTCCATTACTTATAAGTAAAATTTAATAGTACATTAATTTTAGGTTGATGGTCAGTTAAACATTGCTCCGTTTAAAATGACATCAATTTTAATTGCTTAACCTTACATTGAATGTAAATATTAACTTGATTGATATTTATTCATGGAGAAACTAATTATAATAAAAAATTTTGGTAAATAGATATTACTTTTCAAATCACCAGCTTTATCGTAATTTTCTAACAATATTTCTTTTCATTTTACTGTACTCACTGGTTTATTCTTCTGTGTTAAATCACTCTGTAACCTGTTTATTTAAATCTGATATCTAAATGAAAGATTCCTACAAGTTGTTGTAAAAACCTCATAGCAATTATTATTTATGTGTTATTTAGTTGACCAGTTTTTTGCTGTTTTATAAAAAAAATTTATTTTAAAGCTCCATGTACATTCCATTTCTGTTGTTTGATGAGATTTATATGGTAATAGTTGAAATCAATAAGCAAATTCAAAGATTTTCGGTGATTTTTATCTTATATTCTTAATAACATCAACTGTGCTTTCTAAATATCCAATATAAGATTATTTGATTGTTCTTTTACAATGATTTTAAAATTAAATATCATAAGACAAATAAATGACTTCAATAATCAAATTATTTCTGGGGGATTGACTAGTTGGTAAAAATGACCAGATTAGCATCTTTGTTAGCAAAGTAACTGAGATATTTCAGTTCTAGATGGTGGTTGGAAGTAGTCGACAGGAAACCCTGGACCCGGGTTTCGTGTTACTTGGCACTCGTCAGCAAGGTTTACCTGTAATCTTGAGGGAACTAGTACTCCCTGACGGATTCGATCCTGTGTCGCCCAGCTTCACAGTCAGAGACGTTACCACTGAGCTATCTGTGCCAAGTAGCCCGAAACCCAGGTTCAGGGTTTCCTGTCGACTACCTCCAACCACCATCTAATCTCAATATAGTGCACGCAGTGTTGAGTCACCTGGACTGGTGGCCACATTGCAACTTGGTCGATAGCATTCGATCTGCACTAATAAGGACTTGACACACATGACACTGATCACCACCCAGTGATCAATCAGTTGTGATATTTCAGTTTTATGACTTATACTCGTCCTGGGATACCAATAATTAATGAAATAATTTTCGAAATTATATCATACATATAATTAGTATTCTGATGCTACAATACTCCGGTTATTATTTCTCAACAGTATAGTGTTACGAGTGAGCGATTCAAATATTAAATTCATTAGAGGTAAAATTAAAAATTTAATCATATGTTTTTTAGAATGGACGAAATATCCCATAAATCGTAGCACTAATTAAATTCAGCTGATCTAATCTGAAATGTAAATACATTCACTCACATATACACACTACTAAGGTTTCATATCGTTTATCAATAAATAAACGTTTGTTATGCACAAACATACAAATATTTAAGTGAATGGCACACTACTTACCCTGACCATATACAATCGATACAGTGGTGAACCATCGAATGAATCGATTCATCAAATTTTTATGGTATATACATCCGTTATTTTTATTCATTAATATTGTGTATTTACGAGATAGAATAAGTGAATATTTTATAAGATATTAAAAATTATGTTGAAACATGTCACAAATCAACTAGTCATCTAATTGATTTACTTATATTAAATATGTCTTTGATTCTTTTTCTTTCCTGGCGATGACGATCATCTTCAGATGTAAGTAATGTTTTTCGTCAAATGTTTATTCCTTAAAAATTGAATAGATATATCAGTTTTTGTTATATAGGTACGTGAAGGTTTATTAACTTGACTAACCATGGAAATTGAAATTGTAAATGATATGGTTCCTGAAGGTTTACAGCATGATATATGGTATTAACTTTGTATTTCAATGTTGGCATGTAATTAAATTGAGACTAATTGTTTGTTATTTATTGGCTTACTTTCCTAATGTCACCTTGAAATTACGACTTCTATAACTGATATAGTAATCTGAAGTTAGTGACAGGAACACAAGTTTTATGTATCTCAGTTAGTTTTGTACTTGCAACCACATAAGTTTATTAACTCCGCTTAGCTAATACCATACATTTAACATCGCCATATCGTTAAGAAGAACACATATTCAAATTTATTTTTTACACTAAATTACAATTAAGTAATTTCACTATTTTTATTTTGCTTTATGTTTTCTATCACTTTAAGTCTGTACAATATGAATAATCTTACCGCTATAGTGTTTAATCGACTGATTTTAAGAAAATAGCTAACTCGCTGGTGCAACAAGTAATTTAAATAACTGAATGTCACTGTCTTCTTTAAAGTTCTCTTAATACTACTTATATTCTATTTTTTCCTACAGGTCTTCTAATCTTACAATTTCTCCGATTACTTTATATAGAAAACTCAAACGTCTACGCATTAAATCACTCCCATTATGTCATAACTTCTTTAGCCACTAGAACCGATCAGAGTTGTTTAAAACTAATCAGATTACTTGTTAATATCCTATTTTACAGAATTAAAACATATTTGGCTAAAAATAATTCATTTCAAATAGATTATATTGATAATTGGATGATAACATTAAAGAATATAACAATATTGGGATTTGATGGACTTAGTCAAGTCAATCAATACAGTGACCAGTTCTCTATTGAACAAGAAGAAATATGGCTACAGTCAAATAAAAATCAACCTAATAGTGATGTTTCAATTAGAGAATGGATGATGAAACGTGATGAAAAGTTATGTGACGTTTATAAAATTAAATTTTCAATTGAATTAAATAAAAATGTGGAAATGCTTGCACATTGGTTGTTATTTCCTAGATGGAATTATTTAACATCAGAAAATAATTTTATACATGTTAAATTTATCGGTTTACGTTTTAATGTCAGTTTACATTTATTTATTAATCAAAATGGTGCAGTTGGTATGAAATTTGATCATTTAAAAATAACACAATTATCTAATATACAATTGCATACTTTTCAAGATCCTATTTATATTACTTCCAAAATGAACAGTAGTCAAAATGATATTGTAAATTCTTTTGACAATTTCACTTTATCTTGGTTACTTGATAAAAAATCTTTACGTGAGATATTATTTTATTATTTAGAAACATCAGTTATTGATATATTAAACAAGAATTTAAATCATTTGCAAAGTAATTTTACATTTAGTAAAGTTTTAAGCTGTAATTTTTAAACATTTCTTTTCAATATTGGAACACACAATTTCGTTTACTATGCCAATTACAATGACGTTTGAATATTCATGCTTATTGTATTATACCGTCTTAACTAATATTCCGAATCTTGATTTGAAATGATGTAAAACAAATGTAGTATATACATGTCGAGGCTCTACAAAATAGAATGATTGGGTATAGAGTTTCACATACGGTGTTGAATGTTTTGCTAATTGTTGTGCAGCCTCAGTTTTCTTAATGCGATCAGAAATCAGTCCTCATTTATGTAAGCCCTGAACTGTTCTCTAATTTGTTACTGTATTTTAATGTGTAAATCTTAAGAAGTTATTCTTAATTTTTAATGGAAGTTGTTTGATGTGTATTGAAAAATTTACTGATCTTGTTGAGTAAATTCTGCTTGTGTATGTGTTCTTATTTGGATACATCAGTCTTATATCTCGGAAATGTAGCACTGTCTTCATGATGGTTTTTACTGTTAACTGGTACTAAAATAATGTCACATCATATTTAAAATTTGTCTTCGACACAAAATTCAATACTTAGCCAATCATCTCGATTACTCAAGTAATCAGCAGAAGCTCTATCAAAGACATCATTCTCAGACTAAGTAAATTATGTTCAAATATACAGGCCTTTCATCGGTTGAAAATCCTTATGAAATAAATAAGATCAAGAAACAACATACCGCTTTTAATAATTTTACTTATTAGGTGTTGTCACAATAGACATTTATAGGAAGAAATATTTTAGTGGCATTGTAAGCTTTATAGGATTTGAAGTTAGTTTCCATTACGGATGGACATTAACCGGAAAATTATTGAAATATGGTAAAACTTTGTAAAAATTTCTCTTGACTTCAGTGCTACCTAGTGGGTTGAACTGACAACATCATGCGTAATCTAACTCAAGACGTTTAGATAGTTTGTTAGACTTGATGGGTTGAGATCAGAGATTAAAAATCCACATTACCAACTTTAGTGTTTTTGCCGCACATTGTAACGACCATGTAATGGCATCGGTAGTTTATGACTCTTTATCTACATGTTTGAGCTCGACCTAACTCAGCTTACAAGTTGAACATAGTTACCAGCGAGCACAGGCTTATTTGTTTACAATCTAAAATAAAACAAAGAAACTAAAAGCAACTTTCAAATCTTACGCGATAAAACTGAATTTCATGTTCTTCAAACTTTGGTAGCTGGTTGTTATTTTTCAATTTGTTTACTTTCATTACTCCGATAAAGTATTTCTTAGCAGTGGGTATTGGTATAGCAAGAGAAAATGAAGGTAACTGATCACTTTGTTCCGTGTTCGTTTCAGTACATACTGACATGTTATTTGATTTATTTTCGGTACGCGAAAATCTTTTCAATTTTGACATTTCAGAATGAACCAATGTTAATCCAGTTCTTAAACACTATAATGAATAAACAAAACAAATCCAAAGACATTTATTTTAAGTATAAAATAAATCAAAGAATTATCTAACTTTTATGCTTTAAATTGTGTAACTAAATCAAATGTACCACAAGAGATAATTTGCTGTTAAATATAAATACAAATATAATACTTATTAAATAATACTTTTTTCATAACAGACAATTGATACATAAACTTTAAGATAGTTTAGATTTATTTAGAAATTTCTTTTATTGCATTCATCATTCAACACCCGAATAACATGCCCGTAAATAAGGGATTAGTCTGGAAAAGCTTAACTTTGCAAAACTGAATAATTTTTCAGTTTATATAAACCATGCTACAAATTAAAATACCCTAAGTCACAAAAAAGTAGTATTTTAATGTTGTCCAGATTAGAAATCCAGATCAGGTAGATTAATAGTTAGATGTGTTGTATCCTAGTGTAGATTAAATTATGGGTAACTTCTGAGAGCTGTTAATGGACTAATATTATACATATATTCTTATTATATAATTATTGAGTAATTAGATTATGTATATTTATTTTCTTATTATTATAAGCTCTATAGACTTGCAACTTACTATTTTTAGGTTATACCTAGTTTATTAATTACAGTCTCTTACAAGTACAGCCACTTTTTAGGTTGATCTTGTACAATTGTTATTTATTATTTATAGTATTATATGGTTTGGTTTGCTTGTATATAAACCAAGTATGTCTGAAATAAATAATTCGTTCAGTGGAAGCTGTTATTGGTGTTCTGGAGCCAACACTCAGGGCTAGGCAGAAAAAGGACCAACAAGGACCCTAGGCTGCTCATATCGATTAATACGTTATTGTTGTGACACAGTGTTAAGATTGTATAAGTCATAATCTGATGGGCGATCATATCAGGTGATAATTAACCGGGCATAAGTCACGATAAAATCCACTAACCTTAAATATGAAAAATATATGTTCGATTGTCTTTTCAAAAACTAGTACATTTTTAAAATTATTCGAATCATGTTCATATATGAGATTATTACAGTTGAAAAACAGACCCTATGCCTCAACGAAAATCCGAATATATTCTTTGATAGTACTCTACGCTTACATTTTTTTACTATTTCTGGATTTGAACATGGCAGAAATATATTTGAGTTCTAACCTTTATCTACTTAAAAGTATGATTTCATTGTGATTTACTGAAATAGTTTCAGAATGATGAGGAAAGTGATAGGATGTACTTGAATCTGAAATCACTATTTTGAGTTGATGGTCGTCGATGTCAAGACATGCTTACTTCTTTATGGGTGTGTGGGTTGTTTAGTTCTTTTGAAAGGCGTGGTCAGTAGATTTCACCAGAGTTGAGTAGGTGGAAGGTAATTAAAGAAAAAATGGAAGACGGTTGTTCAGGATCGTAAAATAATTGGGGTCAGACTGGCAAGCCATTAATTTGTGGTTCAGTGGTCTAGAGATTAAACATCCGCACCCGAAACCAGAGGTCCTAGATCGCGGGGCCGTAGATGCACACTGCTGAGGACTCCCATAATGAAGAAAAACGGACGTTGTTTCCTTTCAGGTTTTAACCGGTTTTCTGACTTACATTAGCTCGTGATCTCAACGAAGATTATTCAACAGTAATTGCTCAATCACAAATCATCCAATCATTTCTCACTGTCATTGTGGTTAGGTTAGGACTAGATAAGTATTGTATTGTCGTTAAATCATGATTCTTCGTGGTCACGGATCAAGTATTATCTTTTGACTAATAAGAACTAAGGTACACGGGAGCAAGAAGTAATATTTGTCATTGATTCATATGTTATCATTGATTTTTGTTTTTATCACATTGATCCCAGTGACCATACGAAATAAATCCTTACTGTTCAGCAGCTTAGAATACAAATTATCATTGTTCCATTTAGTCATACACATTATTTTATGTAACTCAAGCAAACTGAAAACATGTGATACAATCGATAATGACTCTCTTTTAACCGTTTACCTTGAACAATAAATCGGACTCATCTCTCTGTGGACATTGACCAAGCAGAATTTTAGCTTCCGATTCTGGTATGGCTGCTACATATTGTAAACGGGATTGTATATTTGTATCTAAAGGTAATGTATCATTTGTTGTTTCTGTTGAATAAAGTAATGCGATGTTAACACTGATCTGCTTTTGTGCTCCATGTTTTATTGTATCTTTTATGAGTGTCTCCACACGTAAAGCAAGAATGTGTATAAAAAACGAAAGTATTCATAGAGAAATAGTTATAATTCAATGATAATTATGAGCACACTAATAACAATTAGTTAGTAGTAAAAGAATCATTTTATCATTCTTAATAATTATGATTTTAAATGTGGAATTATGAAGAGAATAATTACTTGTACTTATCTGTAAATAAATATAACTCCCATGAGTTGGAAATTATCACCTTATTTTGGGTTGATTAAAACAACTATTCATTGTTTGTCAGATTTAGTTGTTACATTAGATCAATTAAAATAATCTAGAAACAGTAATACTGGTATCTTTAATACCTACTATATACTTAACAAGCAACTTATAAAAATGTCCGGTAATTTAATTTTGTTCATTTGTACTTAACTAGGATCAACGTACTTATAATTTATTAGATGAAGTTACATAAACAAACATGAAAAAATGGTATAAATTAACCGGAATGTGAATATATCGAGTAAGATAAACAAAACATTTATGCATGGTATTAAATCTGTCACTTATTCATGAACTTCCTTTTATTAGGTTACATGTATTAGCCAAATAGATCACAGTTATCTACTGAACTTAGAAAAATAATAAGTGATTTCTTACCATACAAGAATGGTTTTTTTTTTCTAACAATTAGTCATTTATATTGTGGATAAAATTATAACTAATCGGCTCAAGTCATCGTAATGAGATCATAAGATAATTCTACATAGTAGAAAACAAGATATTCACGTATTGTAATAAACTAATCATGTTAGTCATCTTAATTTATATTTTATTGTCTTTCAATCATGGAATCAAGTTAGTTATCTTACCTGGAAAACGGTTTTATAAACTAATTCCATTGAATTATCAAATGTATTCAGTGAAACTGATAAAATTTTCTCTATCCATTCCCATCGAATTTGTCTTCTTATTTTCTCAGATATATTTTGTATCAATTTTTCTTTTAAGTAATTAAGAAACTTTTCCAAACAACTGAAGTCAAACTCATCATGACCACTCAGATATTGATTATTTTTAGGCCAAAATATGTGATCTAATAGAATTTCGAAGTCAGTGATATTTATTTCAACTGACTTTTCTGGATAATTGTAATAATGTAAATTTTGTAATTGATTAACTGAGCTTTGAATATATGAAGGATCACTAAACATCTCGGATGATGAAATGAAACTGCTGGTAAATGTAGAACTTGAAGTTACCTGAGCATTGGACGTTGAAAAAGACCTTGAAGTCGATTGAATGTTAGAAGCTAAATCTGACTTAGCTAAAAACACATTAATAATGGTAGGGAATAATATAATTTGAGTTTGACTAAATAAAACACTAAAGTAAACATTATTCAATTTCGAAATTCTGTCTTTCCTCTGCTTTATTGTTAACATAAGCTGCATTTAAAAATAGTTTACAATATTCAAAGCTACTCTGACACGTAGTGAGTCCTTTTTTTAATACTCAATGTACTGTACAATTACGCTAGTCCCTGAACATGAGGAACGTCTGGAATAAGATGAACTTGACAATCAGCAAACTGTAGCTGTCTAACTCTATCTACTTAATTATGACTGTTAGCATTCGTGGAGGAGCATAGGTCGCCCACCAGCATTCCCCATCCAACTCTGTCATGGGCAATTACCTACAGTTGTTTCCAGTTGCTATTCATCCTTTTAATGTCTGCTTCAGATTCTCGGCGCAGTTTATTCTTTAGCCTTCATCTTTTCTGTTTTCCTTCAGGATTTTAAGTTAGAGGTGCTTCGTGATTTAGTTTGATGATTTCCTCAATGTATGCTTCATCCAGTTCTAGCGTCTTTTCCTAATTTCCCCTTCATCTGGAAGTTGGTTGTTCTCTCCCAAAACAGGCTGTTACTCATGATATCCGGTCAACGGACATTAAGTATCTTGCGTAAACAACTGTTTGCAAATACCTGTACATTTTGATGATGAATGAAGTAGTTCTCCACGTTTCAGCTCCGCACAGTAGGACTGTCCTGACGTTCATCTTGAAGATTCTGACATTTATATTGGCTTGAAGACAGTTGTCTTGAGTTCCATATGTTCTTCAATTGTAGGAATGCTACCCTCGCTTTGTGAATCCTCTCATTTACATCTGCATCAGCTCTTCCTTGTTCATCGATGGTGCTTCCCAGCTACGAGTAATATTCCACAACATTCAGTGTTTCTCCATCAAGTATAATTGGGCTGGTGTTCTCAGTGTTGTATTTGAGAATCTTTCTTTTCTCCTTGTGTATGCTGAGGCCTACGGATGCAGAGGTTTCTACTCCACTGGTTGTATGGACCTGTATTTGTTGGTATGTATGGGAGAGACGAGCAGAGTCCAAATCGTCTAGTTGCATCCAAGCTGTTCATTGTGTTTCGTGCTTTCCCTGTAATATAGCGGTCTTTGCAGTCTAGTCAACTGCCAGAGGAAAGAGAAAGGGAGAGAGTGTAAGGAGCCTTGTCTAACACAAGTCCTCATTTGGAATACACCTGTCGACTGTCCTTCATGCACGACTTTGCATTGTAGTCCGTCATATAAATTCCGGATGAGGTTGATGCTTTTTTCAGGTACACCATAGTGTCAGAGAAGGCTTCATAATATCTTACTATCCACACTGTAAGATGCTTTCCCATGGTCAAGGAAGCTGATGTACTGTGACGAATTTCATTCAATTGAATATTCAACGACGATCCATGACCGATGCTTACGGAATCCGGTGTGCTGATCTCGAAGTTGGGTATCTGCTGAATCTTCCATCCGATTCAATAACACTCTGTAGAGAACTCTTCCTGTCACCGATAATAGTGTGATTCATCTGTAGTTCTCACACTTGCTCACATCATTTTTGTTTGTTATCTCGATGGGGTGTCCTTCTTTCCAATCTGACGGTGGTACATGTTCTTGCTCCCGAATCTTTCTGAAAAGAACGTGGAGCATGTGTGCAATTACATATGTATCTGACTTCAGTGCTTTAGCTGGGACATTGTCAGGTCGTGCTGTTTCCCAATCTTGATTTGTCGGATGACTATTTCGATTTCTTCGTTCGTTAGTAGAGTGACATCTATAGAAAGGTCTGTGTGCGTTGCTTCGACGTCCGGGGGGTTCAGTGGAGCTGGTTTTTTCAAGAGTTCTTCAAAGTGTCCTACCGACCTGTTCCTCTGTTCTTGAATATCAGTGGTTGGCTTGGCTTGAGTGGTCGCTCTGATTTACTATATTTCCCTTCCAGTCTCTTCGTCGTGTCATGTAGTTGTCTCATATTTCCTTCTCTTGCAGCTTTTTCCACTGTCGTTGCTAGTTCCTCCACTTATTTCTGCTTGTCATCTCTAATGCTCTTATTTACTTGCTTTTTTGCTTCAGTGTATTCAGCTTGAGCCCTGACTTTCTGTGTTCTTGTTGGACTGTTGCTAATTTCTGTCTTCTTGTTCACCTTTCCTTGAAAGTGGATGAGTAATTGATGAATACATTGTATTTAAACTGTATTTTAATTTCATGTAATTTATGTTTACAACTACACTTATATACATTCTTTTTAATTGTTATGCTTAGCTTCACATTTACATTGATATCGTAGCAAAGGTCTTCATCAAGATAATGTTATCAGTACAGCTTGAATCAAACTTTGGAATTCTGAAGATATTATTGAAATACTAAAACAAGACAGAAAGGAAAAACTGTAATAGGAAAAGTAGGATAGAGTTTTTCGATAATCTGTTTTTTTATTTCGCTTTATTCAGTAATTGTGCAAAAAATCAAAAAAACCTTAATATGAGTGTGGACAGAAACTTCACAAAATCTTCTTTGCGTTTTTCGTAATATTCCTAAGTTCCTTTCGTAAGAAAATTAAATTTCGACTGAATCACAAGTCTCAATACAAATTTCAGCAACCATTGTTTCAAAAATGTTTAAGATTTCAAATGTGACTAAATAATAATTATGTTATTTACAACTGCTGAGAATGGATCGTAATTTTGATACAGCTATAAAATGAGCTTAACAATTACAAATAACTCATAAATAATATGACAGCACTAAAATATATTTCTTGACCAGCTATCTTAATTACCTTGTTTCAAATGAGCCTTATAAAATCCGTCTTCATACTTTAATATAAAATCTTCAATTTTCTTAAGGTTTAACATTCCAGAACATTCTTGATCTAACGTGTGAAATATTTTGTTCAGTAGTTGATGTTTTTTAATTATTGAAGTCTTTCGAAAATGCTACAATTTAAAGTGGAATGGAAAGGTTTATTATTTTTGTGATAATTAGTATTAGGTTTAATCCAGTAACTTCAAATACGTAATAGAAACGTTTAATAGATTTCATGAAATGCTTTAAATTCTAAGTGAAACAAAATATTTATTAATCTTTTATGGAATTTTAGACAATCAACTAATACGACTACCGGGATCGCAATTCAAGAAATGTTTTATTTGAACCTTAATATATATCCATGAGAAAAGTAGACAATTTTTTTCCTACATCTTTGTAATTATCAGGATTCACAAGTTATTTCGTACGGTATAGTCAGTGAACTGGCTTATTGCTAGAAAAGCAACAGTCCATATTTTCTACCGAAATTTAAGGTTGTTCGGTTTTTAAATTATGATGTTGAAGTAGATTAATCCTACGAAGAAATACTAAAAATTTATTTATTCTATTTTTATAGTACTTCATATGTATATACTCAAAACAGTATGAAACTTATAATACTCACCATTCACAAAAAAGCCAGACAAATTTAGGCTACTGAATTAAAACTTCATTTTCCCTGTGAACACATATCCATAGCGTTACCCGTGACTTTTTGTCTAACTCTCAACCTGATTAGCTATACTTATGATAGTTTCCATCAAGAACTTGTATGGGTTCACGAGAAATTTCACGAATATTGAAACATTTAGTGAATTCATCCAATCACTCCATCAAATCTCCCGTACGATTCCTGGATAAGATTAAGGACATTCAAATAAACGACTAACTGATGTTATCCTTCGATGTAACAGTCTTGTTTATGAGTATCTTAGTTTCTATATGACAATTAAGTGGTTGAGGAGAGAAATTTATATATTATGAATGTTATTCATCAGCTGGAGATCTATTGTGTGTTATTTGTTTTTTTTTAAATCCTATCAAATTTTTGCCTATCATTCACCAATCATCTAATTTAAAATTGAACACTACCTGTACAATCTGTCCTTAATTAAAAGAGATGCCTAGTTAGATCAAAATCCATAGTATGAAACTAAAAGTCGTTGAGAGATACTAGATTATTTAATTTTCTGTTATCAGGCAACAGTCGCATTAGTATTATTCCAAGGAATTTATCCTAGCTCATAGAATTATATAAACGACATGAATGGTTCATTAGACTCAGGAAGTGAATAATGGTATTGTTGTGTCTTTACGTCCGACTAGTTATCACGTAATTAATTCGCCAGTCGAAATACGACTTATTCACTCTTGTACTGTATTAAACCAATGACGTTCGACCGGCCTGATCAGCCTAGTGTCCTTATTGGTCCTTTGTTTGCCTAGCCCGTCCAGTTGAGTCCAGAACACCAATAACAACTTCCGCTATGCGAATCATTTATTTCAGACATACGTGGTTTATATACCCGCCAAACAGACCTTATCGCACCATAAAATAGGAAATGATATTTACACAAGATCAGGCCAAAAAGTGGTCGTGAACGTGGGAGACTGTAATCAATAAATGGAACATAACTTAATACCAGTAAATTGTATAATAATAATCTACAGTTCAAAATGGAGCTTATAATAAGGGGAATATAGATATACATAATCTAGTCACTGAACATTAGGTTATGTAGATAATATTAGTCCATTATTCGGTCTCAGAAGGTACTCGTGATTTAATATCCACTAGGATATAACAGGTATCGTATTTCAAATATACCATTTGTTTTTTTCGCTTTAATTTACATATTTGTGCATAAATTAACTAATAGTACACAAATATCTACCTGAAGTTTTCTTTCCTCACGTTCTTCAGCTGAAGCTTCATATCTTTTCAAATGTGTTAAGCAATTATTAAAAATTCTCGAAGAAGCAGTTTCTGGTATTATGAACTCCATAATACTGATAAACTGATTTTGTGTTATACCAGCTGTATCGGCCAGTTGACAAGTCTTTATCAATTGATCTAATAAGTATTGTGTAAGAAAATTGATATAGATATCGTTTTAAATTATGTATTTTGATCAAGTATTATAGTGAAACAATACTAGAAAAGTAAATGATTCTTCTAGTGAACTATTACACTATAAAACCCTATGCAAATATTAAATAAGATGCGACGACTAATTATTGCTAACTGATTTATCTTAATTTAGACTTGTTAAATATATAAAAGAGCACGTTATTTATCTGTTATCATCATCTTAAATATTTGAGACATCTAGTGACTTCGGATAATCCTTATAACTTGCTGAAAAGAGAAGTCTAGTTCAATATTTGTTATCACTTTGTTCCACATTACAAGCTTTTGCATAGTTATCTTAAAATTACATGTATCTGAGACTATCACTTTCTTTCAAATGAAGTTGCTAGCCTTTCAGCCTTTGGGGATTTCAATAAAGAACAGTGCATCATGATTCTTAAAAGTTAGACAGTATTTAACTAAGCTAAGATAAAGGAACATCTTATTCCGTTTGACTTAGTGATAAGGAAAAGTAACAGCATAATCTAACTTACTTGGAAACTGAGTTCATTGGTTTGGATTGTAATCTAATCAGGACGTATAAGACACTTTTGCGAAAATGTGTTGGAAGACTTGAGATTAGATCTGAGATATTCTTAGTTTAAAATATTGCAATCAGTTGTCAGTGAAAACTGATATCAAGTGGTTTAGTAAGATATGAAACCTTAATATGCACTTCAGTAATATATCTCTCACTTAGGTATGTAACGGTTTAGGTAAGTTATTGTACATTATTTATGCATAAACTTCTCAAATTACGAAAATATCCACAAACTTTCTGTTTATCAGATGATTAAACTTCTGAACTCTAAAACAACTCATCTTTAACCCTCGTGTCTTAGTCCCGTAACAACATATCATGGAAATTCGAGATATCCATACTGTAAACAGTTTGAAATACTGGTGAAATGACGTGAAGCTATAACAACCAGACTACGAAACAAGCAGTTAAATGCGTAAATATGTTCGAAAAAAATTATCGAAATAAATTACAGTGGTGTGAAACTCAATAAATATAATACTGTCCAGCATAATTATATTCAGCAACCCGCCGAAATAAACTCCAAGATTTCTAAAGAACTAATAACTTCATAATAAAATTGAAAATGTTTTATTAAAGAAGCTTAAAGTTTTTCGATTAAACTCACTTGAATGATTATTGATATTTACATTTGTTAGTAAGGAGACAAACGCTTGCTTAAATAATACAAATAAGGACATTATTAGAGGCAAGGTCATAGCAATTCTACCGTTGTAAAACAGAGCTCGCTAAGAAAAATCTGCTTCTTTAACCAGAGAGACTGTATTATCAGTATCATGTTATTATACAACAGGTCTGTAAATTTACTTAATAAACGACCACGAACAACAGATAACATAGATTCGAAGACGAAGTAACCAATGAAGTGGGAGCAAGGCTCAATAAAGACAATATGGTTATCAAGTTAAGACAAGAATTTTGGAGTAAACGGGAGAATCTAAACTATAAAACTTGATATTACATTATTTCTGGGTAGTCTCATAAAGAGCCTATAATAGGATATATCATCGCAACTACAACCGAGCTCTAGTTGTAGTTACATAAGCTATTAGAAATTATGCATTAGATTGTCATTTCACATAAATTAACGAACGCAAAGCCTAAATCCTTGGTTTCCTGTTGATCACTTTCAGCCATTTAACCTCATCGCAAGTTATGAAAAGAATTACCGAATTAAATCCTAATTTAAGAATAAACAGAGTATATACTTTCCACTGATAGTGTAATACTTTAAAACTAAGACATAAAGAGAGAGTAAGAAAGTGAAGAAAATCAAGTATAGTTCGTGATACATAATCTAAGCGGAAAGCACTAGTGACAGGTAAAACCATAAAATCTTAATCTAAATGAGAATATGACTAAAGTACGAAATATATATATATATATATATATAAAGTATGAAATGAGTATTTTATAAACGTTAAGAAGCTAGGCAAGACTGTATGTACAACGATAAACTTAAAACAGAAATAGAAATATATCTCAACTTTTCTGAGTTCATGCAAAGCCAATTGAACATTTCTGTGTACTTAAAGTAGACTACAAAAATACTCTAATTACCTTTAATATTAGACTGAGTGCGAAAGATAGTAATGTCGTCGAGCTGCCGAGTACCTAGTTGTAGTGAGCTACTATCATCATGTTGAATGTCACTGTCTGAGTTATTTCCATTGTCGATTAGTAGAGAATGTTGTTTGTCCTTTATGTTGTTATCATCATCAACTTTAGATAAAGATGGACATTCATTTGTATCCATAGTTGTAACAGGTTCTGTTACTGATAACTTCAAATGATATTCTTTTGTTAACCCTAAAAGTGAAATTGAAGAAATTTAGATTATTAGTTATATATTGTTAATGGCATTGAAATTATTTTCAAGTCAAAATAATTTAGAAATATTTTCTACTTACTTAATATCATAGAAACTAGAGAGATATGACTTTTAACCACTCTCTTGATTTTACTTGACATTTTAATGATGATATACTATGCCAAATGAAATAGGTTTCCCCTTAAACAAGTCGAAGTATAACGTTAGCTCACTGATAGCAATGTTGAATGGATTTCATCATATCAAATACTGGCAATGATTTTAAAAGCAAATACGAACCATTGGATTTTAACTCAGTATTCTCGAAGTATCTTCCTCATCCTAAAACCTTTTTGCTGTAAATTCGATCTCACATGGGGTTGTAAATTTATATTAGTGAGTAGTTACTTGGTTGAACAAAACAGCTATTTACTCATTTGATTCTCAATAGGTTTTCAGCTAACATAAATCCATAATAAATACTGAATTCAAACTAAAACATTTCTACAAAACTTCTATCATAATAATTTATAAAGCTTTTTAAATAACAAGTGAAATATGAATAGAAATAATTGATTATTTCAGTAGACGCTTAAAAAAAGTACATTTATTCATCTGTCGATTAGTATCGTTGTCTACTTCACACTTGATATTTGCAATTTAGTAATCAAAGATCATTTTAGAAACCAGTTTTCATTTCTCTCCAATCCAATTATAACAGCTTGACGATTTACATAGATTAGCATATTTTCAGATCACAAAAACTAACATATTCTATTAAATGAATTCAAATAAGTTTGCTGGATATCTTTTTCGCATAAACCAATCAATTCAAATGATAACCTACTCTATAATAATAAACATCAACAAGTATGTAATTATAGCTTACAATCTCCTGGATCATGGATTTTGTCTTTGATAATTTGTTGGCATGTATCAAAGTAATCTTCACACAGTTGAAAAACTTGGGCACGAGATAATTCATCCAACTTAATATGAATAATAAAACGACAAAACGGATTCTCAGTATTGTATTTCATTTGAAACAAAGCTTATAATTGTTTTGTAATGATGTTATCGCAATAAGACAATAAAAATTTCTTTAGTCCCTATGATTTTTTGATTTTTTTACTCATTAAACTCTTTAATAAGAGGTATAAGAGATTCAACTCCGCCTGTAGTTCTCCTAGAGTTACTGCCGGTCCCAAGCCCGGATAAAGGAGTAGGGTTGGGCATGGGGTTAGCGTCCCCATCCCGTGGAAAACTAACTCGCTAAAAATACGCTAACCAGAAAAAACAACTCAAACCATTTAAAATCTGCCATGGGAGTTAGAAGGTCTTCATTTAGAAGAAATATGACGCCTCAGGATGAAAGCCGAGTTCCTTCGGAAGCCACGAGGCCGATGCCCTTTCTAACAACCAGAGCAACAATTTTTATAGGTACATGGAACGTCCGGACAATGTGGGAGACCGGGAAGACCAGTCAAATAGCAACGGAAATGAGGAGATACAACTTGGCAGTACTGGGAATCAGCGAAACCCATTGGACCCAAGCTGGACAACAAAGGCAAAATACTGGAGAGATGCTGCTATACTCCGATCACGAAGAGGAAAATGCCCCACACACTCAGGGAGTTGCTCTAATGCTGTCCGAAGTAGCACAAAATGCACTTGTAGGATGGGAATCTCACGGATCCAGAATCATCAAAGCATCATTCAAAATAAAGAAGGAGGGTATCACAAGGAACATTATCCAATGTTATGCAACCACATATGATAGCAACGACGACGTTAAAGATCAATTCTATGAGAGGCTGCAATCAATCATGGAGAAGTGCCCAAGAAAGGACCTCACCATTCTGATGGGAGATCTAAACGCCAAAGTGGGAATAAACAACACCGGATATGAAGATATCATGGAACTGCATGGACTGGGAGAGAGGAACGAAAACGGGGAAAGATTTGTAAATCTGTGTGCATTAAACAAATTGGTCATAGGTGGCACATTATTTCCACACAAATGTATACACAAAGCTACATGGATCTCACCGGACCACACCACAGAGAACCAGATAGATCATATTTGCATCAATAAAAAGTTCCGAAGGACAATGGAAGATGTGAAAACCAGGAGAGGAGCGGACATGGCTTCAGATCACCACCTGGTTGTGGCCAATTGAAAGCTGAAGCTAAAGAAGAACTGCACAACTGGACAAACAGCTCTGCAAAGGTTCAATACAGCCTTCCTTCGAGTTACTGACAAACTCAATGAATTCAAGATGGCTCTCAACAACAGGTTTCAAGCCCTACATAATCTACTAAAGGAAGAAGAAACTACTATGGAGGATAACTGGACAGGTATCAAATAAGCATTAACTTCAACGTGTCGAGAGGTTCTGGGTCCTAAGAAACATCATCACAAGGAATGGATCTCTATAGAAACAATGGACAGGATCAAAGAAAGGAAGAACAAGAAGACATCAATTAACAATAGTCGAACACGAGCAGAGAAAGTTTAAGCACAAGCTGAATACATAGAAGCAAACAGGCAAGTGACAAAGAGCATTAGGGCCGACAAGTAGAAATACGTGGAAAAACTAGCAACGACGGCGGAGAAAGCTGCAAGAGAAGGAAATATGAAACAGCTTTACGATACAACGAAGAAACTAGCAGGGAAATATAGTAAACCAGAGAGACCAGTCAAAGACAAAGAAGGAAGACCAATCACTGAGACTCAACAACAGAGGAACAGATGGGCAGAGTACTTCGAGGAACTCCTGAATAGGCCGGCACCAATGAATCCACCGGACATCGAAGCAGCGCACACAGATCTTCCTATAGATGTCAATCCACCAACGACCGAAGAAATCAGAATGGCCATCAGACAAATCAAGAGCGGGAAAGCACCAGGACTCGACAATATACCAGCTGAAGCACTGAAGTCAGACATCGAAGTAACTACGAACATGCTTCATCTTCTATTCAAGAAGATTTGGGAGGAGGAACAAGTGCCGATGGACTGGAAAGAAGGACACTTCATTAAGATTCCAAAGAAAGGAGACCTGAGAAAGTGTGCAAATTACAGAGGCATTACACTACTGTCAATACCAGGAAGTCTTTAACAGAGTGTTACTGAATAGGATGAAAGACGCAGTAGACGCTCAATTTCGAGATCAATAAGCTGCATTCCGTAAGGACCGGTCGTGCACAGAACAAATTGCGACACTACGGATCATCATCGAACAATCAATTGAGTGGAACTCGTCACTGTACGTCAACTTCATAAATTATGAGAATGCATTTGACAGTGTAGATAGGAGAACGTTATGGAACATTCTTCGACACTACGGAGTTCCTGAGAAGATTGTCAATGTTATCCGGAACTCATACGACGGACTACAGTGCAAAGTAATGCATGGAGGACAGCTAACAGACGCATTCCAAGTAAGGACCGGAGTCAGACAAGGCTGTCTACTCTCTCCCTTCCTCTTTCTTCTGGTGGTCGACTGGATTATGAAGACCTCGACATCTGAGGGAAACCACGGCATACGATGGACAGCTCAGAACCAATTAGACGATTTGGACTTCGCAGATGACCTAGCCCTCCTATTCAATGCACACGAACAAATGCAGATAAAGACAGCCAGAGTAGCAGCAGTCTCTGCATCAGTAGGCCTCAACATACATAAAGGGAAAACCAAGGTCCTCAAACACAACACGGAGAACAGCAATCCAATCACTCTTGATGGAGAAACTCTGGGAGATATGGAAGCCTTCACATACCTGGGAAGCATCGTCGATAAACAAGCAGGTTCAGATGCAGACGTCAAGGCGAGGATTGGCAAAGCTAGAGCGGCATTCCTTCAACTGAAGAACATATGGAACTCAAAACAACTTTCAACCAATATCAAAGTCATAATCTTCAATACGAACATCAAGGCAGTTCTACTGTACGGAGCTGAAACTTGGAGAACTACAACAACCACCATCAAGAAGGTACAAGTATTTATCAATAGCTGTCTACGCAATATACTCAACATCCATTGGCCGGATACCATCAGCAACAGCCTTCTGTTGGAGAGAACCAACCAGCTTCCAGCGGAAGAGGAAATTAGGAAAAGACGATGGGAATGGATAGGACATACATTGAGGAAATCATCAAACTGCATCACGAGGCAAGCGCTAACTTGGAATCCTGAAGGGAAGGGGAAAGGAGGAAGGCCCAAGAACACATTACGTCGGGAAATAGAAGCGGATATGAAAGGGATGAATAGGAACTGGAAAAAGCTGGAAAGGATTGCCTAGGACAGGGTTGGATGGAGAATGCTGGTGAGCGGCCTATGCTCCTTCGCTAGGAGTAACAGACGAAAGTAAGTAAGTAATAAGAGATTCAAGAGAAAGTTAAGATGATGGCATCGATATACAGGAATCGATAAATGAGTCTATTTCTGTGTAAACATACTGATTTTTAAATATAGATGTATTAACGATAGACTGAAATTTTCTGTTATTGTTCTATAACTGGAATTTTAAGGGAATTTCTCATAAAAGCAGATAAAATAGTACCAACAGACCAAGCAGTAGGTAGAAAAATGTTTATATTCTTGTTCAATACAAAGTCTTTTGAAACCCATGTAATGAATTGATGTATAACGTTTCCAACTTATAAGAATGATTTTTATAGATATGTCATCTTATCTGGCACTAGAAGCCTAGTCATCAAAACGTATTATACAAATAAATTGACATTAAAGTCTAAGTTGATTTCATTTTTCGCATTCCTCGAAACTAGTTGTTCTGTATTATAAAGTCAATTTATTTGGGAAATTTAATGTAAAATCTATCAATTTAGTATATAACCCTCCTGTAATTATAACTGTGGTACTCACAATTAACATCTTACCAATATTTTAATTCATACTGTAACGCATGTAAAGAACTCAATAACTAATCTATAGTTGTGTTTTTTTAATATTCCATTATCCTTTCAGTGTATTTTGATACTTTCCTAATAAAGGAAATGCAGATTTCTCAATAATCGTAAGTATTAAAATGTTAAACTCCTAAAGAAACATTAAAATTATGACTAGGTTTTGTAAATAATTTAACTAAACATAATGTATTCATTGTGACATAAAAACATGAAAGAGTTTTTCAGTACTGAATCAAAACTAATCGTAAAATACTGATCGTATTAATTGGTGATAGATAAATGACTGAAGTAGGCTCATTGGAATGATTACGGCTACTCATAGGAGAAACACTAGCAAATAAACTTTAAAACCATTGTTATTAACATGGGAAATGATGCATAAAATTGAGAAGAAATGACCTGAAATGAGATTATCAATCGTCAATTTTCGTGTACATTAATATAAATAGATATTTTTACCTTGTCTAAATCACACGAACGGAAGCAACTTTTCAATAATTCCCGTCGTTCTTCTCTTTTCTCTGCTTTACGAAATTCTACCGTACAAAGTCTTAGATGTTCTGTCAACTGTTCGAAAACATCCGTTGACATCAATCTAGCATATATCATGAAACACTAGAAAGACAAATTTTCGAGTAAGAATACATAAGTAAGATACTACATAAACAGAGAACTCAGTTAAGAAGTCAATCTATTCTGTTTTAATAAGCGAGATATTTAAGGCAGTGTTAATATCCAAACTATTAATTGAACAACTTTAGTCCATAAATTATCAAGCAATGCTCTTACATAAAATAAAAATCCAAGATGGAATATCAAATTAAATGATCTGGTAAAATGTGAATTAATGTGTATTCATGATAATCAGAAGATACTTAAATCTATCACAAAGGTATTAGCATCAAATGAAGTTATAATCATCATTTCTGTCTCTTTACTATGCTAAAACACCACACAAATACTTAATTATTCAGCTGAGTTATCAGTACCATTACGTCTAATTTTTAATGTTATTCCCTATGGATTTTATTTGTATCCACCTAATCCACTCCAGTTTGAATGAATACATTTTTTAAGTGTAATAGAACTACTATTTTGAGTGAATAGATGATTAACTTCTACAAATGGTTGTTAACGTAAGTTATAATATTGTTTATAAATACTTGTACATTTCTGATGATTGCTGTGGGAGTTCTCCAAGTTCTAGATACGTACAACAGAAGTGTTTTAACGTTAATGTTGGAAATTGTAGTTTTGGTCAATAACCCCATATATCATGTTTCCGAACAATGTGAAGTTTTTACAACTTTTCTCAGTTCTTATTGTATTTAAATAACACATCTCTTATGGTTCAAATAAATCATGCTCTGCTTTTTATCTTGATTCTTTTTGTCAATGAAACGAACAACATATTTTTTTCAAATTTTTACACTAATTCACTAACCATTGTCATGGTTGTATGGTAGAAGTATCAACAATTCATAAGATGGAAAACAAAAAAACGATTCATTTTGTCATACAGTTATATTGTTGTTTCATGACATTTTTATGTGGCATAGCATGTTAACAGTCAATCAATCGACTTCACTGATAATTATCACAGCTTGACTCCCAACCTACTTGTTAGTCGTAGCCAAAAATGAAATACAAATGTAATTATTTTAATTTGTTAATGGTATTTAAATAGCATTTCACTGTGAAGGCGGATATCCGATAAACTTCACAGCTTTATGAAGTTGATATACGATTACTACTAAAAATCTAAGGTAACAGGTAGAACTAGTTTTTTAGAAATATATGATATATCAAAGGACACGAATGTAAATAGTTAACTGTTAGTTTTGCCTTATCAAACATCCCCACATTTTACCTCCATTCATGATATAAAAACGGTTCGTGAGGATTCGTATCTATTTCTTTTCTATATGGTCAATACTACAGAGGCGAATTTTTGAGATTAAAATTTAATATTATTATACAAAAATTCATCTATGAACAAAGTGAGTGAAAATGGAAAACAACTTGAGTTATGTCGTCTAGAAAACAACCAATCGTACCTTGTTAAACAATACAAGAACAACAGTCGTATGTGTTTATTAAACTTTATCCTATCTTTACTTCACTTAAAGTGTAGAATTTCCGAATTCACTCACCTTAACAAATTGTTCTTGGTTGTAAAACGTTTGGTAGTCTTTAGTTAATTGAGTTTTAAAAGTTCGCATCAAGCACTGTTTTATTTCTTCTGGTAGTGTACTAGTCAGTTCCATAAATGTAAGTACCACATCCTCTATCTACAACAAATAAGATAATCAATCAAACTCGAATAGAATACAAAGATAAACTAGTAGCTATTGTTATTAGCAAAACGTAATTTAATGCGTTTGTTTATCTATATGACTAATTATGTTGACGATTACTTTATTAAACAAGCAGTTACTTATATGGTTTACCTACTTACTTGTGCCTGTTACCCCTCATGGAAGAGAACAGACCGCCCACCGGAAGTTAGCTGATAATTCATATCTATGGTTATACAATAGTCGTTACAACTGGTCACCATCACAAAGGCTGTAATGTAGACGATAACTGGGGTGTATTCAACGTATTTCTCATCACAACTAATGTCATATGAGTAAACGCTGAGATACCTGAACTAATGAGTTGTCTCACTACTCATCATCGTACACGATGTTGAAACCAATGTAATTACTAATTTCACCTATAGTTTGTTGACGACTTAATTGAAGACAGATATTTTAGAAGCAAAAAATTGAGTTACCAAACACAAAACGAGAGAATAATTTTGTTTATCCTGTAAGTATAAATTAGTTAAATAATATGAATTATAACAAAACTGTGTTATTTAAATCACATTTATACTCAGTTCATTTTTTCTTTTATGAGCTCTTACTGTTTTTTCCCCACAGAATTACAAATTCGAATGAAATACGCTGTTGTTTAACACTGATTACAAATCTATACTAATGAGTAGCTTTTCCACCATTCTTTATTTCGTTACTGTAAGAGTTTAACAAAACGGGACACCTATTTTTGTTATTTTCCAAGTGACTTTTAACGATACATGTTTTACACATTGGTTTGCACGGTTTCTTGGAAATGTTGTCTGAGTTTTCGCCTGTTAATCTAAAATAAGTAACTTCTTCAGGATTTAAATATGCTACAGTCGTTGTTGCTTCACCAATTCAGCCAAATCACTAATATATCAAGATAGAAAAAGAGGGATAATAAAACGATTTATTGTTTAAACCACTTGAATACGGTTAATAAAACCAGTGATGACTCTTTTTTGATGTCTAAAGCCGATCAGTAGTATACAGCTCAGAATGCTTCAGAATTACTTTTTCACCTAGTACTTACACAAATTAATCAACTAAAAATTTTTAAGTCTGTTGTAGATAAGTATGTAATCATATTGAATCGAAAGTTCAAAAACAGAGAGCTATCTCACCATATTTGCATTCGTTGAATTTTTTTTAGGTGGTATCAAACTGTCACAGATCGAGGAAATTATTGCGATTTGTCTGTCATATTCTTTTTTGACTTTCAATTCTTTTTGTTTTTCCTCTGTACGTCTGGCACCAGCACTTAGCTTTACTTTAGCCAGCTGGTTTCCTGACTGTATAAACATTTCTTGTTGCAACTTGGCCAATGTATACCTTAACCCTCTGACATAAGGTGAAGATTCGTTGAAATGATTATGTTTATGGTTATTGCGCATTAAGTATTCAGCTAATCGGTTAACAGGATTGAAATTTCTGTCTAATCCTGCTCGATAACTTGTTTCATCCAGTAGGTCGCGTGTGATCAGGTTTCTTTGAGTTGCTTCTTTTAATATAAATTCCAGACCCAAAACAACTTGAGGCAAAATATTATCAATTAGATAAGCTCTTGCTTCGATAGTATGTGGTTCTGATACCAGCCATTCCATAGATAATACATCCATTGGTGTCTGTCTAAGTAAATGGAACATTTTGCGTTTTTCCTCTTCACTTGTCTTCAAATCATTTTGGAAGAGCGTGGAAAAACTTTCTTTTAAAAATTCGTCATCACCGTATTTCGTCATTCTATATGTGTAGTTATCAGTACACTATGTTGCTTAACTAATTGTATGTGTAAATGATGAATTAAAAAACTTTTGAGAAAGATGATAACTGGACTCCGACGTTTGGTCAACCGAAATTTTGATTGAAAAATGAAAGTGAATCTTTAAAATGTATCTGAAAAAAGAAATATTTGCTTAAATTATTTTTTAAATAAAGTTCTGACATAACACATGAATAATGACATGCCATTCAAACATTTTTATATTTTACGTTCTGAAAGGAATAGCTTTGTTTGACAAAAACAAAACAAAAATAAGATCTCAGTATTTGTATGAGCGACATAAATTCATAATGACAACCTCCTTTAAAGATATTTTCTCAGTAAATTTTCGGAGTCTTTTTAAGTTGGTGCAATTTTACGTTAAATTTAACAGCTTTTACTTGAAATTTACCTACATAACTAGTAAATAGCGCTTGAAATTAAGAATGATATTTTGAATTGAAGAAATCAAATAATAAAGTAAAAAACTAGCCATCATGAGGTGAATAACCAATACATTTACTGTAAAATCAAATGTTATATGCAGCGTTTAAATCTACCACAACGTACAAAACGATTCCATACTACGTACATCAAATTTGAGTTCTTGTTTGTTTCTCGTCCAAGTTCCAGACTAATTGGGATTATTAATATTTTGTCAGCTTATTTCAAATTCGTAAATCATTATTATGATATATGTTTTTGTTTTTATTTTGTTATTTTATTTAAACACATAAACATTGGTACAAAAAGGCACCAAACAGATATGCGGCACATAAATCAGTCGATTTGTAGGAGGGCTGTAATACTATCTAGGTGCCCAAACGGAAGGAGGTGGCTTTCTTAGGGAGTCACATCCACAACCTTTGACCTAAATGTCTCATCGACAAGGCAGTGGAGAAACGTCAGGAGATGCAGTCCCATGGTAGCCGGTGACCAACGATTGGTTCATATGCCATTTGTTTCTTTTTGATTCTGGTGCCCATGTGCACCATTTGTTTGGAACCACGGTTTTCCAACTACCCCAGATAGACTCTCCATGTCCACCAACCCGGTTGAGGCGCCGGAAATTCGCTCTTTATCCTCTCAATTTCGTAAACAACAGCTTCGCAGCGAGAGGGCAGTGAGTTGGAATTTCCTGACAGTAGTTGTTTGTAAAGGGCCATGTGAGAGCATCTAGAGAGGGAGAGCCTATACTCCTCGCTCTCGGCCGTACCAGGGCAGTAAAATTACCTTTTTTCTCCGCTCAAATTTGAGTTGCTTCTTAGTTTACTTTATTTTAGGAACAGATTCTATACTGTAATTCCACTTAGCAAGTTCCCTAATATCAAATTAAACGAACTTAGGACTTCTTTTAAGATTTATATCGTGTTCACTAAAGAATTCATCAAAGGAATGGTTTGATTTTACAGATGTGCATCATATTTTTAGACCTAAAACTTTGTGCAATAAACAAAAGAAATTGTGATATCTCTAAATGCCGGAAAGAATAATCAGTAAATGGCAGTCTAGTATCGACACGTCATTGTTTTGTGTTACAATGGAGTGAATAAGTTTTAAGTGAAGAACGTTTCAGTTGCTGGAGACATTGCTTTGTGATAGTACATAATGATTCCAGCTTACGTTTTGATTCATTTAAGCCATTAATTATGAACTTACGGTATAAACTGAACTAATACCTGGAGTTTACAGTCATGCTGAGTCATATCGAAGGAACCATATGGTTGGTTTAGAACTGACAAAATATATTTAGAATAAAAAATTGAAGCTAATATCTAAATGAATATTTGCTTTCACCTTACATGTCGCTGTTTGATAACAACTATATTAATGAGTACTTTTACTTATATAACCTCGCCAAAAAATAACAAGGCTTCTTTCTTCTGTGCTGAACACACTATTGATGAATCAGCTGAGCATATACAATACGGCTTTACCTGTTGTTTCACAAGAGTGTGAATCTAAACAGTTTAAAGAAAAATGATGGAATTCCGGAAGGTTGAACCTCCAAGAATTTCTGAAATATTTTAGAATCCCGACTGAATTTACATTTACTATAGTCTCTCAATCTCTTCATAGGTTGTGTGAAACTTATATCCACGTTTCCAAACTGTTAATGACCCAGCTACCAGAGAAGTAGGACCAAACAGGTTTTAAGATATTACTGAGCTAAATGCGCTTTAGATCTGCGATTAAATACCGGTTTCTGTTTGTTTATTAGTTGCTGATAAACATTTATACTGAAATAATTATTTCTTGTCCATATTATTTTCAGCTGGCTTCGCAAGGGTTAACAGACGAAACCGAAAGTTTTTTATTCAGGATACAATATTTTATGCTGTTGGTACGTCATCAACCTTTTACACAACATTCAGGATTCATAAGTTGGATGATTGCCACGACATTTGTTTATTTACTAGAGAGTAGTTTCTTTTCTTTTTTTAGAACACTGTGAATGGAAGTTCAACGTCTACCTAACCTACTCCTTTGAAAAAACATGATCAGTTATAAAGAATTGGAACGCGTTACCTATTACTGGATTATTTGTACTTTATTAAACTTTAATGAACTTTAAAATGTGTGATGAATCAGTCTTTTAGTTACGGTGGTAGAGTGGTTCTAGTTAACACTTGTAGATGAAATGCTTTGGTAATGCGTTTACCGTGAGAAGTTGACAAGAAAAAAAGGAATACATAAGCAGAAACTTTTAAGTGTTAATTATTGAATCTTCAGGCTTTTCAGTGATATCTATCGAAAATTAATTGTGTTGAAGTATTGCGTTAAAACATTACATTTTGAGCATTTCCTTAAAAATTGCCAAAGATTTTGGAATTTTATCATAAAATGTACGAGAATTTTCCAAAACTGTTATAAGAATCTGGGGAAATATTAATATCCCCAATTTTTCAGATTTTTCAGCTTCAGATTCAGATTTTTATAGTAAGGACAGAAGGCCTACGGCCTATGTTATTCCTTTTCTAGTATGCTTCTGTGAGTGTCCAGACTTCTCTTGAAAGAGTCAATTGAAAGTGCGGACACCACTGCCTCGGGCAGCAGGTTCCAAGTGTTGATGACTCGGTGTGAGAACCTGTATGCCACGGGTATTTTATTCGTTCTTGGCTTTTCTACTCGCCTGCTATGTCTTCTAAGATGTCCCGATCTAGTGGGAAGAAAAAGAGAGAGTAAGTTAGGTCCAAAATCATTTCTCAGTATTTTGTACATCAAAATTAAATCTCCCCTTAATCTGCGATAGGACAGTGTGAAGAGATCTAGCTTTTCAAGCCGCTCTTTGTATGGTAAACCCCGGAGTTCTGGAATTGCACGAGTAGCTGCCCTCTGTACTTTTTCTATGATATCCGAGTCACCTTTTAAACACGGGCTTGCGGCCTGAACGCAGTTCTCAAGCTTAGTTCTCACTAAGGACGTGTATACTTTGGTGAACATGATACTATCTAGCTTAGTGAATGTCCGTTTTAATGCCCAGAGGGTTCGAAATCCCTTAGCTGAGACCTCCCGGCAATGGGTCGTTGTCTTAAGATCCTGACTTACTGTCACCCCCAGATTCTTATGAGACCGAACCACTGGTAATTGCACTTCCCCTATGTTACACCTATTAACATTTGAGTCCCCGAAGTGCATGTAGACACACTTTGCCGCGTTTATAGGCATCAGTCACTCTTTAGACCAGTTAATCATATTATTTAAGTGTGCCTGAAGAGCATCTAAGTCTGTGTCTCCAGTTATTACTCGCCAGATCTTTACATCGTCAGCGTATAATAACATTGGAGGCTGTACTATACTTGGAAGATCATTGACATACATTATAAAAAATAAAAGACCTAGGACGGAACCTTGAGGTACTGCACTAAGTACTGGTCTCCAGATGGAGCACTTGAAATTCATTCTTACCTTCTATCTACGACCTACTAGGAAATCCTTAATCCATTTTAAGAGAGGTCCAGCAATACCAAGGTTTTCCAACTTCAATAGCAGTCTATTTGTTGGCACCTTGTCAAAAGCCATACTGAAGTCTATGTAGACAACATCCAGTGAGTTTCCGTTGTCTAGCGCCTTTATCCAGTATTCCCTTGCTAAAAGGAGGTTTGTTGTACAGGATAGACCCTTTCTAAAACCATGTTATTCTATGTTTAACAAGTTATTTGTTTCAATAAATTTCATTATTGTCCGTTTGACTATTCTTTCCAATATTTTAACTACAACGCTGGTGAGGCTTACAGATCTGTAGTTCGATGGAACTTTTCTTGGCCCTGTTTTATGTATGGGAGTTACGATTGCGTCCTTCCAGTCCATAGGTAACACACCTTGATTAAGTGACATATTGAATATCACAGTCAATGGGGCCGCGATATATTGTGCAATATGTCTCAAGATTTTAGGGTGTAGTTCATCTGGTCCTGTTGACTTTTCCATGTTTTAGGTGCTAAGAGTCTTAGGCACATCGTCTTGGTCGAAGTCCGCAGTGAGCAGGTGGTTTATTGACTCTTCATTTTGGTTTGGTTCTTTGTCCAAAGGAGGTTCCTGAGTGAAAACTGCCTCAGAATAGTCAGCCATAGCCTCTGCTTTGTCCTGATCTTCCTCTATCATTTCAGATTCACTCCCTTCTTTAATTAGATTTGGAATCCAATGATGCATCCTTGTTCTGTAGTTTATGTATGAGAATATTCTCTTGTGCTGCTTGAGTGCTGATTGTGCCAACTGCATTTCATATTTTCTTTGAGCTTCTCGAATTTTTATTATACACTTGTTTCTTACCAATCTGTAACGTTCCAGCGTATCTGCTGGGCCAAGGCGGATGGCGACGTCCCAAAATTTCTTCTTTTGCCTTAGTAAACGTCGAATATCCCTGCCTATCCAGGGATGTCCGTGTTTCTTGTTCTTTGGGACTGTCCAGGGTATGTATGGCTGAGTTACCTGGTTGTATAACTGCCTGAAATGCGTCCATGCTTCTTGTACTGATGC